GGATTTAGTAATATATGCAAAGCTTCAGCTAGTTTCCGTTTCTCGTAGTTAGACAAGGCTTCTTGGATTATTGTGATATTTTTAATATCGATTTGATGGTCATTGAAGACACCGTGAACTGCTTTAGTCGGTCTAGTTTGGAGTTTTTCAAGTTCTAAAGAATTATTTGTTGATTATCTGTGTAACATAGATTTGCTTTGCATCAAGTCAGGATTTAAAGAGATGACTTTAATATATAAGATCTCACAATCCGGAAACCCTAAACTTTTGACACGGTTCTATGTTGAAAAAGGGGAATCTTATCATTTATAAGAGCCAAAATATTTCAAATAATATATTTGTAATATCCCAATGACTAGAAAAATTAGATTTTCTGACGTTTCGTGAATAAGTGTAAGCCACTTCTTTAAAGAGATTTATTTATACTCCAGAGAAGTGGCTTACACTAAGTCATGAAACGTAAGAAAATCTAATTTTTCTACTCATTGGGGTATTACAAATATATTAATTTATTTAGAAAAATCTACCCAATGTCCAATTTATTCGAAATTATCAAGTCAAATCTTGGTAATGATACCTACAAACACATTTCAAATAATGTTAGTTGTTCCTTAGTATGGTTTTAAGAACATTTGAATCGCTTTTTGAACTCCGCGTGAAGCACTTCTCGGGTTAATGCCAGTCCCAAGACCAGACTGCAGACAAGGCTTGAACATAAGGTTAGCAACCCCATCCCGTAGAAAAGGATATCTTCAGAAAACGCTTACTAGATAAACACCATTTAAACCATTTAAACTCTACCTTGGGAGTAGAATAGTCTTCGATTAGAAAAATTATGACGCATAATGATAGAAGCCGAGATTATTCCGAAATCAACAACCTGATGTCAGTTCTCACAATCACAGCATCAATAAACAATATACATGCAATGTCCGCATTATTTGAGAAACCAGAGGATTATCCAAGTGACTGTGAACATAAAGTTATACAACATGGAAATGTTTGAAGTATGACGAAATCATTCAACACAAGCTGGATAGAAAAGCTCAATCTCAACAAAATCGGTTGTCGCAATCTGATCATCAAGAAGAAGAAAATTGCCTCTCACACACAACGAGTTCCAATGATTCTGTTCGAAGTAGAGTGAACAGTATTCACACGATGTGAATCTCGTAGATCCATGATCATCACATTATCTTCTAAAACAACACACTGGATACTAAGTCAATATTACTGAGATGGGTTTAGTTGAAGTGCAAATTGTATTCACACACATACATTGTGTGGGGACTATAATTGTATATAGCTCACCCTTCAACAAATCTCAGTATTCACTTCACTCAACTATCACTAAAAACCACAAATAGTAAGCTGAGATCAGACTTCATTCATTTCTACAACCAGTTAGATACATGTGCAAGCATCCTAACATACAGGTCATCATTACTATTCCCTATGTATGCATGAACACATTCACATAAATTGGTGAGATGTGTCACAACCGTTTACTTACCATCTATGTGGAATATGGATATTGTTCTTTCATTAATAATGATTCTGATTGAATAGTACAATTTCCTGACAGCTAATTAAATTTGAATTTCAATTGAAGACTGTCTTGTTAATCTCTAAGTTGTAGAATGATGAAGGCGAGATTTTTATTTATCAGAAGCATTGTAGGCTTTTCCATCGGTTTATTAATTTAAGTGGATATCTAGTGTGTCAAATGTGAAATTTAGAGGCAGGGATTAAAATGAAGTACAACATTTGGAGACAGCTGGAGCGGACAGAGCACGTTAGATCTGTTTGTAGAATGCTGGTCAGCAATCTATGCTCTAAGTGGAGTAATAGATGTAAGTAATTAAGTAAGTAGGTAACAAATCCATAATATTCATCGTAAAATACTATTTAGTAATAAATCGGCTCGTTTTAGTACATTTTTAATAATATTTAAAGGAAAACTATCAAACTGTAAGCTGTTAGTATTATTCTTCTGTTCCTCTTGCTTGTCATCTTCATATGTAATAATCTTTGTCGCCTTTTTCAAGAGGTTGAAGTCATTATGGTGATTAGATTATTGTGTTTTATGATAGGTCATTAGATTCAAAGTTATACATTGATCATTATTAACTAAGCAATCTAGAAATGACAACTCACCATGTTTATTTTCATTCTCGTAAGTGAATTGACTGTGGGATGAAAGTGTATTAATCAGTTTACAAGAAGTCCTTAGGAACGTCTTTTCTTTTATAACAATAAAAACGTCCACATATATGAGCTAAAATCTCAGTCCTATGTCATTGGTGGAAGTATTTTATTCCGTACGTAACATAAAATGTTATCTTCAGTCAAAAAACTGGGAATCCTAGTTCGCTTATTTGTTCGTATAATAATAATCCATTAAAGGTAAATAAGTTTCAGTTTAAGCATCGTTAGCTGGATTTAATGATTAAAGAGATACTTAATAGACATATGCTAAATAAAATACGGTCATTTTGTAGTAAACCAGTGATAAAGTCCAGGCATCTATCAATTGGAATACTAGTGCATAAACATACAATATCATAGTTTACCATAGTTTTATTCTTCTTGAAAAATAACCCTAATATTTTAGACTTAAAATCACAAGAACGTTCAACTACATTATGTAAGTTTTGTTGAAGTAGCTTCAATATACTGCTTAGATATTTAGACAATACTTATTTTGAGATATTTGTAATGTCTACAATAGGTCTTAGTAGGACACCTGGCTTATAAATTTTAGGTAAAATATAAATGTGACGAAATGTGTAATTTGGTATATTAAGTAAACAAACCGTAAAGAGGACCTGACGAATGGTTTTAGTTTTTTCAAAATCTGACTTCTTTGTGATTTGAATTTCGTCTTAACTACCAGAAAGATATGAATAGGACTGCTTGTATAATTTATATGCATGATAAGTTTGTTTACAACGAAGCACTCTAAACTTTTAACTTGTATCTCAATAACTATAGTATAATTATGTATCCGACTTAACATTGCCTCAGTGTTTGACTCTCAATCACCAGGTCATAAGTTCTAGCATTGCTTTGGTGAGCCCTAAAACTGAGTACATAAATCTGCACGGTGTAATTAAGTTACTTAAAGGTAGTCAGACACTTAGTAAGTTGCTCCTAGTAAGTATACTAACAGACACGAAAAATAAATATTCATGAGTATATCTCGTATTAAAACATTACGATTACAATCAAATACATGTTTTCTAATTAGTCAGAAAGAAATCAAATTTGCTACCAGAACTATATATACATATGTCCAGCTTTAAAAAAATTACTAGGATATAATCCAAGCCCCACTTAACTAGTCAGTATTGAGTATTGCCCCACCTTAGTTTTATGTTGAATAATTTAATAAAATAATACAGAAAGTGAATGTAGCTGTATTCACCAAAATTGATTAACAATATATTTAACGACTACTTAAATATACAAAACTATCAGAAGGGGTTTTGTTGAGATTATAGTAATTTCAACAGTTGAGATCATGAGTCAATCGAATCTAGACCACCATGGAAAACCTGGAAGCACTGGACGGCCGTTTAGCATCCACGACCCCGCCCGCACTGCTGAGGAGTCCCACAATAGGACGCAACGGCTATACAAAACTAGTTAAATTTTCTCTATGCATTTTGTTTCATATGATGGATTTCTATTGACGGGTTGTGATATTTTGCTTATCTACTAAATGTGATTATTAAGATAAGGTCTGACATCACATAACTCATTGATTTATCAAATTAAACGTTATCATAAATTCCAGTTGTTTAAGAAGTGCATTTAGATGAAAAATTGTTAAGCAGAACTAGTGAAGATACCATTCATAATACCTTTCTAGTTCATGAAAACTGAAGTTTTATATGTTGCTAAGATGATATAGACCTATATATATAACAGTATATTAAAGACTATAACAACCTCTTCTATTTTACAATCATACTTTAATGACTAGAAGTTTTCTATCTGTTTACAGAATCGTTTGTGACATGGAAATTTAGTTCATGATAATTGAATATTTTACAGGGAACCTTCAAGATCAAATTAGTTTGAATGCCACCTCTATAAAATTAATATTAAATAAAATAATATTCTGATTGTGAAATGAAATTACAACCTACAACTTTAAGTTAAATAAGTATTTAGCGTTTGATAGTACCATTATCTCTTAATTAATCAAAGCAAGTTCAAAAAGTCTAAAAAAACCAATAAATATCCTTGAATTATTTGAAAATAATTTACAAATCCTCTCAAAAATATTTACCATGATATAATCAGTTCATAACCATAGCTACTTTACAGGTTTTAACATCTCTTTTAGTGAGTTCTAAGAACTGAAAAGTTATTTTTCAATGTGATTTATTTGTGTTTCTGGTTAGTATTTATGTAGCGAGTTAGTTTTCTACGGGAAGAGGTCACTAACCTCATACTCGACCCTCCTCGTTTGTTCGGGCTTGGAACCGGCAGTGGACCCAGAGGGGCTCCAGGTGGATTTTGTTTTGATTTACTTAAAGTATATGATCAATGAAGTTAAGTTCTAAAAGACTAAAATTATTAATTTGAAGGATACTGATATGTTGGGTCGGCTTCCGGAGAACTTCAACGGAGCCTCCAGAGGCCCAAAAAGGAGCCGAAGGGCCCTAGCCAATCAGAGTATGATGGAACGTTCAAGAATTCCAGCGTGGCGTGCTACCATTGGTCGGTAGCATAATAGGACGTTAACGGATTGGCTGAAATACGATGTTGATTTAACAGACGCCAACATCTATAAATACCCTTGATTTTCTGTACTAAAATGAACCTTGGGATAAAGTGCTTTCTCTCATACTTGTGTCTTCTCTCTGGAGTTCAAGTCACTGTGTAGTTCTAGTCTGCGGGTTACGGGAATAGCTTAGGAATCGTATATAGCGTTCAACCTACACGACTACTCATGATAAAAAAATGTTTACCTGTAAAAAGACTATTTTGACTATATTTTAACAGAAGTCTATATTTAGCAAAACAAGTGTACAAATAATTACATTTCATCGAATATCATTTTGACATTTCATGTGATTTTGTTAATAATGAATAAACCACTATGATTAGAATATTTTGAGACAATTAGTCAAAGATAACTGGTTTTTTCTGTCAATTTTCTATCATTCAACTTATGCTGAATGATAAATATATGGAGAATTTCAAATTCACTACAACCCATAAAATTATAAAAACAAAATACATTAAATTATTTCAACGAATATCTTTTGAAAAACAACATTTCGTTTTATTAATTAATCCAGATCTCTATCTGGTTTACAGTAGTGAACATATCATTGAATTCTTTATTTATAAAAAAAAGTTAAAAGATAAAAGGTACTAAGATAAACTGTTAGATTATTGTAGGATCTTCTGCATTATAAGAGTGAATGGAAGAATTACTATTGTTACTAATTGTATTGCGATTTCGTGAAGATGATGGTCGTATACGACGTTTTGGTACTTGAGGGATATTTCGTGATCTATTATAACTTTCTTGACCTATTTCACTATCACTTGGTCCAGGGGATCTTTCAAATTCTGATTCAAAATGATCAATTTCTCGATTTCGTAATCCGCGATTTCGGACTGCTGAAAATTAGATAAATATTTTGAGATTAGACAATATGTTGTGGATAATTCAATCTAGAAACTTTTAAAAAAGGATGACTAACCAAATCTTTTCAAGATTGATAAGTATATTCTAGAAAACTAATTCATTTACATAAAAAAAGTTTTGCTAAATAGTTATTTTCTAGTAATAACATGCAATCCTCCTTATAAGTACTCTTTAAAACCTTGATTTTTTTCCATAAGATGTACAGTTTATATCTTAGCCTTAATTAAGCCAAAGAGTTTTTTCAACATATATATGTGTTTGTAATCTACCTTTAAAAATATGTCACATTTATGGACTTTTTAAATTTTTGGGGAAAAAATCATTTCATATCACGCAATGTCTGATTATATTTTACGTGTTTTCCTTAAACAAAGGTCGACTGAACTATCTGGTGTGTTTTGGTCAGATATTTACGTTTTCCTTCTTCACATGAACAATTTTCGTCTTCTTTTTAATTGTTGATGTAATTAGTTTAAAAGAGAAGACTTTTCATATTATTAGATATCTAAAAGACTATACAATCAAAGTGTTTCTCACTAGTTGTCCACAAACGCTTAACCTCTAGATCCTTGAGCCGGCACCCAACTATGTTAATGTCTAACTTCAATCAATCCACGATTTTGTGCGACCATCTTACATTGTCATTGGTCGATAATTGCATTACACCCGTCATCGCTTTCAGGTTTTCAATGGTTGTCTATATTGATTAGTTCATGAGAAGCCGTGACCAGTGGAGTCCAACCATGTCGGACGCGAGACAATCGAAGACTAGCGCGCACTATCTTAGTTTGGTTGAAGCTAGACATTGACACCGTTAAATGCCGGCTCAGTGGTCTGTATGTTAGGCATTCGCGCGTGACCAGAGATCCTATGTTAGATATCCGCTTGCGCAATCGGGAATGTGCACTGTTGGGAAGTCTCATACGAGGATAAAGAAGCCGTCCAATGATTCTAGGTTTTCATTGGTGGTCTAACATTAATCGATTCATAAACTGAATTAAAACTCAACAATCTCCACAACCCAATACTGAAATTAGATTAAATTTGATGGAAACGGGATCATCCCATTAAAAACAAACATCACGATATATAAACTTGATATCTTCCAGTATATGTAGGCATAATCAAGAATCCTGATGAGGATGTCTTTAGAAACTGTAACAATAGAGAAGACAAAATATCATTGCAAACTAATACTCCTTAGAAGGATCGGCCACTAAGAGACCATCCTCTTTTGTTTTGCATTCTCGGGATAAATCTTTGAATAAGGTATTTAATTCAAGCCTATTAAAACTGCTCGTACGGAAGAAAATCTAACGATTTAAACCTCCAAACTGAATAATATGATAAACCTGGGTGGTGTGTTTTAACGAAAATAAGGTTGAATTTCCCGAAATGAAAAATTATGCTTTCGAATTTCTGTATAACTGAGATCAATGAAAAATAGTCTCGATCATTATCAATCTTCGAATGTTGATATAGTGAGACACGGGATGAGAAAGATTTAGTAATAACATAAATATTTACTTTCAGATTCACTAGGAGACCATTGATCTTCACTTTCATTTCCATCAACATCGGGATTGGTAGGTCGTGACAGTGGGTCGCCTAACGAATGTCTTGATTCTGAAAAAGCTTGATAATTGTGTTCTGGAAGATGATACAAAAACTGAGCATCAGGATCTCCTGGTTGAGCATATTCAGGGCTGAAAAATTCAATTTAAAAGCAGAAAAACTGAGCTTAACTGTATCATTACACTGAGGGCTTATTTCGAAACATCTTTTAAGATACTAAAATTTTTATGTACAAAGTGCGATTGCTTATAGACAATTTAGCTTTAGAATCATGCATATCATCATATATTTATCTCATTAAGGACTTTAAACAGATAATGTTTACCACAAACATCTTTAGACCATCAGCATATGAAATTAAGTGAAATAATAAATAAAAAAAACTGTTCGCTCTGTAATACCTGCACATATTATTTTTGGAATTAACTTAGTACTAATATGAAGTGTTAACTTGAATCAATTTATAAGTGAAATGAAATTGTGAGCTAAATAATGATACTTATATCATTATTTAGCTCACAATTTCATTTCACTTATAAATTGATTCAAGTTAACACTTCATATTAGTCAACCCCAACATTAACAATTTGATTTGATTTGGTTTTATATGACAAACAACAATTCTTGATTCACATATTACAATTTCCAAATGATGTACTCTGTGCTTTAAATCTGGTCAATTTTATGGATTATTAATTTGGATGAGATAATTGTAGAACCTGATGAGAGATTCCTTGTGAAGAATATTCTTCGTTCATATATTCATTATTTTTGATAATAAAACATTTCAGGTTGTAAGCAATCCATGCAAACTTACATGAATGTATTTATCTTATTTTCTTAAAATTACCTTCTTTATGTTATTGCTACAATGAATCCGTATTTGTGTTGTTTAATTTATTATTTTGTTTATATACATTATTTATAATTATTTTAAATTAACATTATGTCAGCCAAATTTACATCAACATATTGAAACTAATAAATCTGATCTATTATTCTATAGTAAACTACATTTTTTTCTGTAAACTTGCCTGAACAATATTGACTTGAATTTGAACTACGGACATGAATTTTAATAATGGAAATAATCTTCAATACTATATTTTATATATCAAGTTATAACTTTATTATGGTTAAGATGAAATGTATGAATAAAACTAATCAGAATCTATGGAATTTTCATACACATAGTTCCTTTTATTATTTTAAATAGTGCAATAACAAAGATTTGTGCAGAATAATATGAATTCATTTTTATTCCCTTAGGTTTTCATCAGCTGCTTACAACCTAAAAGATTTGAAAATCAGAGTTATTACAGATAAGAGGGTGATTAAGGATGAATATATGTATCATGATGTAGTGAAGATTCCGATAGAGTTAATGAGGTCATAAAATTTTGTTTTGAATAAATAAAGTTTGGGAGAGAAAGTTCCAGAACATTGAAATTATAATTAGAACTCATGGAGCTAACAAACATTAGACGATTGTGTAATTAAGTAACTGAAAATAGATGGTAATAAAGCAAGATATGAATTGGAACCAGTCGGTTATGAATGATGTAATTTTAAACTTTAGAAAGGGTTAAAATAATGAATGACGTAATAAATAAATAAGGGCGGTTAATGTTACCAGGTCAAACTATGGAACTGAATGATTCCCTTAAACATTATTTCATTTAAGATTGATATTTTTAAAGAAACAATTATAACAAATGATATGAAATGTCTTTGTTGAAATTTATATACGAACACTTTCATTACAAATAACTCGATATCTGACATAACCATATCCCTATTCAAGTTAGTTTACTTCAAATTCAATGTAAAGAGATAAGTAACTTTAATTACTAATATCTGATGTATATTCTAGTTATAAGGCAACTTCTTTTAAAGAAAAATAGCATATCTAGTAACACCCATAAATGGCATCGTCTTTCTGAAGCATTATATGGAATTAGTCAGTTCGCATTATCTTTAATATTGGTTACCTACAAGGGTTTTGTTGTATTAATCTCCTAATAAAATTGCATCACACGTTTTGTTAGGTCGAAAACTGCTTGACCTAAACCATATGAGGTTAGTAAATTGGTTGTATGAAAGTATATTGAGATTTCTGTTAATTGGAATCCCAGTCCAAGGAATTTACTTGCTTTCTCAAAGTATCACTGATCCTGAATTTCTACTTTTAAAAAATTGAATAGTGTAAATGACAGTGGTACACAAAACAACTTTCAACCAATATCAAAGTCATGATCTTGAATATAAAAGTCAAGACAGTTCTACTGTACGGAGCTGAAACTTCGAAAATTACTGCAACCATCATCAAGAAGGTACAAGTATTTATAAATAGTTGTCTACGCAAGACACTCATCATCCATTGGCCGGATATCATCAGCAACAGCTTTCTGTGGGAGAGAACAAACCAGCTTCCAGATAAAGAGGAAATTAGGAAAAGACGATGGAAATGGATAGAACATATATTACGAAAATCATCAATCTGCATCACTCGTCAAGCCCTAACTTGGAATCCTGAATGGAAGCGGAAAAGAGGAAGGTCAAACAATACACTACGTTGGGAATTGGAAGCAGATATGAAAAGAATGAATAACAACTGGAAAGAGTTAGAAAAGATTGCCCAGAATTGCTCCTCCACGAGGAATAACAGGCGTAAGTAAGTAACAGTAGTACAACTTTGTTTCTGGAATCAAGCTGGACGTAAAGAATCTCGAACATGAGATTCAGCATTTGAAAATTATTTGACCTAAGTACCTGAATCGCTGGATGTATTCCATCAACCCATCATCAACTATTTTTAATCTGACAAATGATTGCTATTTTATATCGATTTAGATATATTAGATCATATCTTAGTAATTTACTACCAGTCAACGCTGTTTATTACACAATCTTGAAACTACAGTACGCGGAGAAAGGTTTCTTTAAGAAAAAAGATAAAAACCCATTATGTTAACCAGAAATTAATTTTTGTCATAACATAAAACAGTTTGGGGATGGTGAAGTTGAAAAGCATTCAAAACTCAATGTGAGAATTTCATTTAAAAAAATTCATCAAGTGCTCATCCATTACAGTACTAAATACTTAGACTGAATTCTTGAAAATAATCTATTTAATCTTTTATTCACTTCTTTTTTTTTCTAAGGAATAACGAAAGAATTCAGATAGGAAGCTCTTCTCTACGCATTAAGTTAATATATTCTATAGTGTTGGAAAGTTGTTTTAGAGATTAAAACAAAAAAAAGAGAGGGAATAAAAATTAACTTAACACTTAACTAAGAAAAAAATTAGTAGGAAGTAAAAACGTAAGTCAATGATTAAAGTAGGATAAGATAGAAGGGGAAAAATAAGAAATAAAAGAAATTCAAAATGATTATTCAATTACATTTTAGGAAAAACACCACCACCACAACAACAACAACAACAACAACAAAATTGACAGATGTTTAAATTTTACAGAGAGGGGAGGGAAACAAAATGCGAGGAAAGAATGTTTAACAGGTAGAAAACAAAACCCCTTTTCTTTCAATTTGTCTTCTTTTCTATTCACTTTACATCATCCATATAATTATGCTGTAGTTGAAAGTATAAAATTTATTATTTTATCATCGGTCTTTCATTTGTTACTGTACATTATTGCCTATCTTATTTTTATTAATTTTCCAGACATCATTTTTAACTAAACATAGAAATATTAAACTTTAATTATAAATCTTTAAATAAATGAAGTTACAATTTCATTTCAATTTTTTCTCTTATATTTTTTAATAAATACTGTTGTCAATAGTGATAGTTGAAAACGGAACAATTAAAATATCTTCATTGATGTCAATGATAATAATACTGAAGAGATCAGGAAACATTGAGTCAACAGATGATACAGTCAGTAATCGCATAAATAAATCATAAATTTGTTAGATGTTGTTTACTATAATGTAAACAATATTTGTGTGTTCATTTACCGGTTATGAATGAATACATGTCTAGTATATCATAAGTCATCTTAGAAAGAAAATAATATAAATGAACAGAGTGATAAATAAAATATGGGTAGATAATATCATTCACAATGAAAACCTGGACATAATAAATATAGTTGAACATGAACGAATAGTTTTGAAGAATGGAAAACACAAAAGAAACTCGAAGTTTGGAGGATAAAAATCAGTGGATGCACTTGTTTCACTACGAATGATCATGAGTTATACCATTTAATATCTCTTAATACAAATGTGATAATTCTATGGATGACAACCAAGACTTTTGCAACTATTGACAAGGTGGATTCTGATTGTAAACAACTCAATGAACTGATATCTTGTTTTCATCTTTCTATCATTAGCTTTTTCCTATCTATTAATTAAATCTTCCGTAATATATATAACTGAACCATTAGTTAACTTGCCATTTTCACCTCGTAACCTATGCTCATTAATAGTCTCATTAATAGTCATTTGGTAATGACATTACGTTATTTCAGAAATATTTCAAAAATCTGTACGATTAAATATTTGTAGCCTACATATCGGAGTTTATGATCGTTTTCAGTGTATACTCTCAATATTATTTCACAATTTTAAATCTCTTAGTGCTTGTTTAAACTGTAAATTAAATCCATTTAAACAGATAACTAATTACAAAACGTGAAAAATATGGTTTACAAATTAACACATAAAGTTGGTGAAACTAATAAACTAGAAAACTAAAATAAATTTATTATTTGAATATTGAAAGGAATATTATATCTCAAATGATTCAATTGTAAAAGGTATACTATATTTGCTTTTTTAGATTGTTTACATAAATTTAGATTATTTTGCATTATAGAAAGAAAATATTTTCAACTCTAAGAAATATGAAACTTAAGTGTACCTCCAGCGTTTAAATGAAATATTGTCTGTAAACTTTTCAGCTATATAATTTTTTTCTACTTAAATAGGAGAAGAATGTATTTGTAAAATCTCAACGAATGAATTTGAAGTAAATCTAACGTTTCACCTGGCAAATTAGTTCAAGCCTTTTCAAGGAAATATAATCAAAACATCAAAATTATCGATTGCCAAGCGAAACATTGAATTCACTTCATATTTATTCACTAAGACCACTGAACTAGCATCTAATGGTGTTATTGTCTAACCTCAACCAATCCACGAAACTGGTCTAGTTGGTTAAACCCCTGGCCTGAGATCCTGGGTTCGAATCTCGCGGGGTGCGGGATCGTGGATGCGCGTTCCTGAGGAGTCCCATACTAGAATGAAACGGCCGTCCAGTGCTTCCAGGTTTTCCATGGTGATCTAGCTTCAATTGACTCATGATTTCAATCAAAAACTTAACAATTTCCACAACACCTAAACTGATATTCCATATATTTTGGTAAAAATACACTCGTACATTTTGTTACCATTATTTCCTCGTAATCTTCAGAAAATATATTAAAATCTATTTGATTTTATGCTGATGAAAAGAAATATGACAACGTTTCTTTTTCACCTTTTTTTTCTTTATCATCAATAGAAATAAATAAATAAACAAATTTCTCATTTTAAATTGATGACAAAAATGATAACACATGTAGTTTCATATAATTACATTCTCTTAGATTCTCTAATATTCTTTCTTAATGTTTGTGTGTGAATTCTTTTGTCGTTGTTGTTGTTTCCTTCACTTTTCACACCTGACATATGAATGAGTAGTAAAGCGTTAAAAAAGTATAACCACAAAAATAAAATTGAATAAAGACTGTAAAAATTATTCAACTGGAACAATAAGCCAAAAATATTTAAAACAAACAAAAACAATAATAACACCAACGTCCACGTTTACTATGAAACCAATACAACATTCGTTTAGATATAAATAATATAAAACGTCTACATGTGTATGAGAGAAAGATGGTGAGTGAAAGAGTGAGTAAGTAAGTAAGTGAATAAGAGCGTAGGAAAAAAACTCATCATACAGAAATCATTGACAGGAAATGAAAAACTTTTTCTCTAAAAAACAATATTAAAATTCAGTCATGGATTTACAAGTAGCTTTGTACTATGATTTAGATTGGGTTTTTTTTTTCATTTCAATATCATATTGATAAATTATATTAGAATTTATTTCCTCTATTACTTATTTTTCTTCAAAACCAAATATAAATTATAATAGCTGAATGTATGAGTTGATTTAAACAAATTTCATTAAAAAAATTTTCTGAAATAATATACAACCGTAAACATTGTAAACAATTCACTTGGTATTGTTTTCCTTGAATCTTCCCATTGAAGATCATCCAGCTGACGAGTGCCAAATAGGACGAAACGCGCGTCCTGGATTCCACTGATAGCCACTATCCATCTTTGCTTATAATGCTTGTAAATTAAGGCAATATCGAGGCAATACACCCACGATGCATATATGCCAATATGAGACTGATCAATTGCAGTCTTAAATCTCAATGGGAAGATTCAAGCAAAACAATATCAAGTGAATTTAAATTCACCCCATTGAACAAGCAGGTGGCTATCAGGACTCAGTATCTAAGTGGATAACGCAATGGCGTTTGAAGCGCAAAGGTATTGGGTTCGAGTCGCAGAGTGAACATCAACTCTGAGGTGCAGGTACATCTGGCTTACGAGTCGCAAATAAGACGAAACGAGCGTCCTGCAAGCCACTGTCCATCTTTTCATTATAACCAATATTTAATCCGCTGTTCTATAATCAATATTATCTGTTATTTAGTAACATATATTGTAATTTACTTTGAAACAAAACTTTGGATCTATTATGAAATTACTAATGAATTTCTGAAGAAACGATTGGAAAAAATAATCAAATTTGTATAATCGCTGAAAAATCCTCATTATATTAAAACACAATTAACATGAACGACGAATATTCTGTTCAATGAATTTCTCATCAGGTTCTACAATTATCTCATCCAAATTAATAATCCATAAAATTGACCAGATTTAAAGCACAGAGTACATCATTTGGAAATTGTAATATGTGAATCAAGAATTGTTGTTTGTCATATAAAACCAAATCAAATCAAATTGCTAATGTTGGGGTTGACTAATATGAAGTGTTAACTTGAATCAGCTTATAAGTGAAATGAAATTGTGAGGTAAATAATGATCAGAAAAAATATGGTCAACGTGGGATTACACTTGACAACATTTTTGAGCGAGACTCTAATTTATGGACGATCTTTGAACGAATCTTAAGTGACCTTGCGAAATATTAGCCAATCAACAAAGAGTCAGTATAGAGTAAAAATATGTTATACAAAACCAAGGAAATAAAGTGGATACACTTCTTACACGTGGTTCAAAAACTTGTCAAGGTTAGAAAGAGGTTTAGAGGTTCTTAAATCATAAGGCATGCAGTAGAGGTAATCATCCATACGGCTAGAGAATAGTCGGCCTCTGGAGCCATGATAAAGTCTCAAAAACTCTTTCACCCTCGACCACATAGGTTCAATATTGTTTATGTGCACTCCGGTTGTTGGGTGCACAAAATGCTACTTGTGGATAACTACACGATGCACGTAACCAAGCCTATGTAAGAGTCTGTACGCTTTCCAAACATCCGTATATATTATAGTACTTGGCTGTAGCCAGTGTTACTGGTGCTTTTATTATCCAGTTCGCAATAATTGTCTTAATTTGCCTTAGTTAGGAATTATATATGGGGTTTTCATCACGAACTGACATCAGCTATAATGCCAGAAATTTATTCAGCCAAATGGATGAAAGGCTTTCGCGTTAAACTCCGAGATCCATTATCTTATATCTGATTGATTTGTTCACAAATTATAGTCTCGCCATTTTATTTGTTATAGCCACTCAATTATCACGTTTTGTACAAAATTCTCTGTGAACCGATCGTACGTTAGCATTAAGCACTGAAGTTGGCGCCGTAACCTTCAAATCTCTAAAACGCTTCTGATTGGCTCGTCCATAAATTAGAGTCTCGCCCATTTTTTGAGAAATTTATTCAGCATCCACCACTATCTACACTATATTTCACTTAATTCATATTATTCTACATATTATGTAACTCCTGGTTACTATTCAATTATTCTCACTCTCTCTCACTCCATGTTGACCATACTTATTCTGATCATTATTTATCTCACAATTTCATTTCACTTATAAGCTGATTCAAGTTAACACTTCATATTAGTCAACCCCAACATAAGCAATTTGATTTGATTTGGTTTTATATGACAAACAACAATTCTTGATTCACATATTACAATTTCCAAATGATGTACTCTGTGCTTTAAATCTGGTCAATTTTATGGATTATTAATTTGGATGAGATAATTGTAGAACCTGATGAGAAATTCATTGAAAAGAATATTCTTCGTTCATATTAATTGTGTTTCAAATTAGTATAGCTGAAAAACTCCAACAGAAAGTAAGGCAATAATTTTGATTATTGAGTGAATTTTCATGTTATTTAAGTTGTGGTTAACTTGCTTACATTCTAATATGAAGCATATTATTATTCATGATAACACATGAAGTACTCAACTTTTATTGTTGCAAATCACATTCTTTATGAATCAAAATACCAGTAATTCGGCTAGTATCATTCAGATTGAAGCAGAACAATAATGTTTAATGAAAATAACTTATATAAATGTTATCGAGCTTTACCAATGGATGCTGATAGGTTTTAGACAACGTAATGCGGTACTGCGTTTTACATTTATTGATGAATGTCTATGGGGTTACTTGAAATATGAATAAAATTTATTTGCATTCAGTAATTTGGATTTTTCTTATTAAATTGAAAATTCATAATAATATTACCAACCGATGTTATGTCCGGATAAGGATAATGACTGGTAATTTTGGGGATCCATTTGTGGACCAATACAATACGTATATTTTTATCGTACAATTGTAAATTAACTAAACTTTTCATATTCATGTCTCTCTTATCATAAGCTTTATTTTAACTTATGAACTGTTATTATACGATTTTTCATTCTTGAATTATTCCCTGTCTATTAATCACTACCTCCCACATTCACAGTCACACTTGGCCAAATCTTGTACAAATAATGTTCCTTATTTTATGGTACGACGTGGTCTGTTTGGTTGGTATATAAACCCCGTATGTTTGGAATAAATGATTCATATCGCAGAGGCTTGGATTGGTGTTCTGGACTTAACTGGCTGGGCTAGACAGGAAACGGGACCAATAAGGACTCTAGACTGCTCGTACGGGTTTACGCGTTACTGATCCGGTCGATAAGTCACTGCTCCCTAATTGGCGGTATTAACACGTTATACATTAACAGGGCAAAAAGGCACAAATTATAACACCCGAACAGCTTGTGTATCACAGTTTTATGATTAAATAGAATTCTACAGCGGTAGAAATAGTTTGATATTCTAGGTTCGTTTACTAAAAGCTGTAGCTGTAGCTCACGTCTATAGGTAGTTTACAAATCATTTGCATCTAAAGTAATTGAAATTCATTTCACATACACAACTGTAGAAAAATATACACCTAGGTATTATACACGTCAAACACTTAACTCATGATTATCGTATAAAATCTTAGGTTCACAGTAGACCTGTGACTTACCTCATAAGAGATTGATGTGATTCCATTAAAGGTTCATTTGCTTTCTTTTGCACTAAAAAAAAACGAATTCACATTAAAGATTATGAAATGTCAATTCAAATACTTTCACCTGTTTGTGAATACATAAATAGAAATGGACAAGCGTAAACATGTGAACTAGTGTAATGACGCATAAAAAGTGAAAATATTAGAGTCGATTAATTGATATTTTAATACGAAACAGGATTTGACCTGTAGTTAGTATGAAAATATGTGTCAGAAACACATTCATCTTATAATTTTGGTATAGATTCTATAGTCAAATCTAAGATTTATGAACAGCATCAATTGAGGGTAACATGTAATAAAGCTCAAAGATAATCGCTGTTATACATATCCATATACAATGAGCACGCCTTGCTAATAAGTAGACATGTATTTATTCTTAAAATACACCATTGATGAGGTATTTTTAAAGCCAAAATCCCTCATTTGACCATTTATCAATATAGAGATTTAAACAAAATAATACACAGAATTTTGCAAGTTCCGATAAAGTTGAAATGTTGACTAAAAATCGATGTAAATAAATTAATATATTTGTAATATCCCAATGAGTAGAAAAACTAAATTTTCTGACGTTTCGTGACTTAGTGTAAGCCACTTTGTCAGCGAAAAAATAATCAAATCAAAATTAATCCAAGTTTAAATAGTGCAACGGAACAACACAAGAATATTAAGTGCGATCAATCAAAAAACAGGCCTGAATAAATCAATGTCATGTCATTCCGGTCAATGTGATGTGTGTGTGTATATGTGCACGGTTAAGGATGAAAATTGTGTGACCTTTGTAATGAGGAAGGATAGAGTTTAATTTATATGTAAGAAAATAGTGTGAAATTTGAAGAATATCAGACTAGGTGGCTAGGATAGATAGTCCAATTACGATGTATAGTAAGGCCTTTTCTATTGAGAGCAGTATGATTAAGCATTATATGGAACGCTTCACCTATTCACCTGATATGAACAGAGAAACAAGAAGCCTTGACAAACTACGGAAGCTATTTTTCGGGACGCTATTTCATTTAATTCGAAGCTTGCAAAACAGTAACATTTATTTTTGTCCCTAGTCTATTCTCCAAATCATAAGCTTTCGTTTGATGTATGATTCACCGCCATAGCCCTTTTTGTTTCAAAGCTATTGTAGTCTAAATGTAATATTTTGTGCTCTATCTTCTACTCTAATTGCCAGCTTTGGACATAATAGTATTTTTCCGGATGCGATTCTCTCCCTCGAAATGCAAAATGTTGCTTCAGGATTGGGTTACATCGACACCCGAACTAGTGATAGGGAGTGAAGTAGTTGAGTGTGTCGACCGCTTCACTTATCTTGGAAGTCTCATCAGCCCTTGTGGTCTGGTGTGTGACGAAATCTCAGCACGGATACAGAAGGCTCGACGAGCTTTTACCAACTTGCGTCATTTATGGCGTAGGCGAGATATCCGTCTATCAACCAAAGGACGTGTTTACTGCGCAGCAGTTCGTTCCGTCCTACTTTATGGCAGTGAAACATGGCCGGTAAGAGTGGAGGATATCCGTAGGTTACTAGTAATTGATCATAGGTGTCTTCGAAATATTGTTCGTATATCCTGGGACCATCGAGTAAGTAATGCAGTTGTTAGGAAACGGGTACTAGTTAAGGATGGCAAATCAATTGATGACGTAGTGAAACTTCATCAGTTGAGATGGCTGGGACACGTGTTACGTATGCCCAACGACCGACTGCCTCGACGTACTATGTTCAGTGGTATAGGAGTAGGTTGGAAGAAAGTTAGGGGCGGCCAAACCAAGACATGGCACAAGTTCATGAAGTCACTGACAAGTGAACTGAGTCATGTTGGTAGGTGTAGACTACCTGGTTGGGGACCGCGAGATGACAGCAACCGACGGTTAGAGACCCTGAATGACATGGCTCAAAATCGTTTGCAATGGCGCAGGTGCATCCACTCTCTGTGTTCTCCCAAATTCTAATCTTCTGAATTCTTCATGTCCCTTTTTTCCTCTTTCCAAATTTATTTCACTGGATTATACTCTTTAAATAACATCTCCGAACCCTAATCTTCCCGATTACTGCTTATACTCTTATTACCTCTACCACTACGGGATTTGAATCGACAAGTGCATCTCTGTGCTAATGTGGTGTGGCAACTCGAACTGATGTACGTACGTACGAAGTTCTACGTTGTTACTGACTGACTGACTGACTTTCCAAATTATTGTACGTTGTGGTAGGGTTAGTCATCTATTTATTCATGTACCTTTTTACACTAATCTGAAATCGGCAAATCGGGAACCAGATTGGAATTGAGAATAAATCGAGTAGTGTTACAGTTGCCTTGTCTTCCCCCACTCGCCTGCTTGTCAGTCAATCAGGTGATAGAATAGTCTTTTTCTCTCTACCCCACTTCGAACTCACGCGTACTAGCCTTAAGGTTTAACTTGAAGTCTATCCAGTTCTACGGGATTATTAGGAGGTTACTTTTTGTACCTAGTATGTTCTTTGACTCGAGTCAAGATTTCGCGAGATGACTCTCCAATATAGAAGGCGTCACAATCGATACATCCTAATTTGTAGACACAGTTATGTGTTAACATAAAGGAGAGTTCTTTTAAGCAAACTAAAGTATTTCGAAGTGCGTTTGTTGTTTTGTAATATACTTTTATTCTGTGTTGTCTTAAGATCCTTTGGAGTTCTTCTGTTGTACCATGAAGGTATGGTAAAACTGCAGTAACAATCCACAGTATCTCATTCGAATTATTATTACGCAATGAAACGTCTTGTTTTAATACACTTCTAGTAATCTTCATAGGAAAATTATTAAATTGTAGGATGCCAGTTACTATTATTTTGTTCTTTCTGTTTATCCTCTTCCAATGTGATAATCTTGTTAGCACTTCTGAAAAGATTTAGGGCTAGCGAGATCTTAGCACTGAACAGATGTGCTGAATTGGAGTCAATATAACTGTTTGAGTGTGTAGGTTTTCACTAGATGAACAGATTTAAAATTCCATTCAGATTTCTTCTCACTAAACAATCTAAAAATGGTAGCTCACCATGTTCATTTTCATTCTCGTTCGTAAATTTGATGTGTGATGAAAGTATATTGATCCTTTTCGAAAAAAGATCTTAGATGAGTCTTTTTTATCACAACAAAGGTATCATCTACATATCTAAGCCAAATTTGTAGTTTAATATCATTGGTGAAAATATTAAATTCTATGTGTGCCATTGGGATATTACAAATCTATTAATTTATTTATAACAATCTACCCAATGCTCAATGTATTCAAAATTATCAAGTAAAAACTTGGTAATGATACCTAAAAATCGATGTGTTTTTAACGTAAAAACTAGAACTAAATGATCGATGATAAATTACCTTTATGTGATGTAACATTCATTATAGAACAGTAAAAATATGATCTAATAAAATAAATATAAGTATAGGGGTTGTGGAGATTATTAAGTTTTTGATTGAGATCATGAACTGATTGATGTTAGACCACCACAATTGAACACCTGGAAGCACTGGACGGCCGTTTCGTCCTATTGTGGGACTCCTCAGCAGTGCGCATCCACGATTCCGCTCGCGGGATTCGAACCCAGGGCCTTCAGTCTCGCGCGCGAACGCTTAACCAACTAGACCACTGGGCCGGGATCCAATGGTGATGATTTCTAACATCAACCAATCTACGAAATTGCGCGACCAACTTCCGTTGTACTGAGGTAGATACCTGTCTCTACCCGACAAGGATTAGCTCCACTGATCAAATCCACTTTATTAATTAAATGATCAATTTAACAATTACTTACATAACTGATTATTATGTTATATAAATACATACATATTACATGCTTCATTAAATAGAACATTATTCTATCACTTAATTTTGATTAATAAAAACAAAATCAATTTAAAAGAATTTTCAGTTGAATAGTTTCATTCATACTGCAAATATGTAAGTTAAGACATTAATTTAAAAATTATTATGCAATCAAGAGTATTTCAGTTAATCAGTTAAATTGGTGTTATGAATAAACAGTGTTAGTAGGCGTTTTGTGGAGATTTTAGTCATTTTAATAGTTGAGATCATGAGTCAATTGAAGCTAGGCCAGCATGGAAAATTTAGAAACACTGGACGCTCGTTTCGTCCTATTGTGGGACTCATCGGAAGTGCACATTCACGATCCGCCTAACGGGATTCAAACACAGGACATACTGGTCTCGCGCATGAGTACTTAACCTCTAGACCATTGAGTCGGTATCCAACGGTGTTAATGTCTAACTTCAACTAATCCAAAAAATTGAGCGAAACGCCCACCATTGTCCTCAGTGAGTTACTACCTCACAACTGACCCGGTTGAACTCCACTGGTCACTGCTTCTTACTAGAACTCTAGGATATACATCTTGAAGCCAGTCACTAGTGAGCATATGTTGATTAGTGGTTTATTTATTTTATACTATTTGGCTACATTTAAATACATAAAAGATCTAGGTTTTTTTATTACCTCTCGAAATATATCATATATATGTACTTTTTGATTAAAGAATAAATCATTATCACACTTGAAATCACGAGTCAATCTAAGCCATACAAACATTGAAAACCTGGAAGCATTAGATGGTCATTTCATTCTAGTATGGAACTTCACACCAGTGTTCATCCAATATCCTTCACGTGGGAATTAAACCCAAAACTTTTGCTCTGTGATATTGCACAACCCTTCATTCATTGTCTGTAGTGAATAACTGTCTCACACACGAGATGAGTTCCCAAGTTCTGAATGGTGGTCTAACTTAGATCGAGTCGTGAATTCAACTTTAAAAATACTACAATTTCCACAAATCCCCATACTAATAAATTATTAGTTGAAAATAAATGATAAAAACTTTATACTAATTAATAGAAAAACGAAAAAATAAATTAGACGATATTTTGCTCCAATTTCGCTTTTTAGGAAGTATTATTGGTAAAAGACAATCATCATCAAACAGATAGTTCTACTACAGAATGCGATGTGGAAAATTAACGATTACCTTATTGCTATATGATATATGTTTGAAAAAATTCAAGTCACTACAATAAAACACATTTACGAACAAATAAAAGATAGGAATATTGTGATAGATTTATTCTCTGACTGCTCGTTTAATAACTAGGTATGAACTCATCATGTCATGAAAAATAACATTAAAAAGTAAATTAATTCGAAATCGCACTTGCTTTCACATAGATTCCCTACCCATAACATTTTGATTCAAGCATACTAACAGTAATTCCACTGTTACATATCAGAAACTCACCAAATCTATGGGGTGAACATGGTTGCAAAGTTCGCTGATTTTTTAACATAACATTTTATCAGTTTAATATTCGACTTTTTCATGAAATATGTCATTGTATTAACATTGGCGCTTAAGTGACAACAATAACTTAAATAGTATCCTGATAATAAGGAAATTTATTTTACCAACCACCAAACTAAAGTTTTCAAAATTAAGAAAATAGGAACATGAGTATTTATATTTCGAGTGCTCAATATTGATTATCACAAAATAGTAAATTGATCGCTAACAGAACAAACTTCATTCTTTTTCTCAAAGTATACTCTACTGATGCTTTAAATTTCCAGGATTTATCATATATATCATTTTAGTGATTCAGTCTCGCTCCTACATACTTCATAGAAGCGTATGCTTAAATATGAGCAGTTCAACTGATTAATTCAGCAAGGTTTTAAATCATGATACACACGTGTCTGGAATAAAAACACTTCAAGGAGTTAACTAGTCTGTTATACTGTATAAAACAAATTGCTTTAGTAAATAATTCCGTTGTTTAATTACATCGATTGATTTTATATCAAATATATCAACACACAGCAACAACCTGGTTCTTTCCGCCTCAAATTTACATTGCTAATCGTTCTCTATCAATATCATTAATGAGATATGATTTATTTTAAGCAAAGAGATATATGTATAAAAACTAATGAGACAAGCCCTTATTCAGCTAAAAAACGATATATATAAGAATCTACTGAATTCCGTTTTCATTCTTAATGACAAAATATCAATTTCATGAAAACATAATGTTGAAAACGAACAAACATCCACTCGCTATAAGTAATATAACAGTAAAATGTATTGAAGCATACTTTAAATCCATTATATAATAGCAGTTACTTACCAACTTCAAGTCGTCTTTTTCTTACTAATATTAACAGAATAAGTAGTGCTATGAAGAAAAGTAGCAAAGTGCAAACAATAATAAACCATGTTCCGCTATCTCCAGCTAAGCTTCCTGGACTAGGACCACCTAGTGTGTGTATCACTCTGTCTTCACTTGCTGTTGACAAAACATCACCATTAGTCGCAACCATTCGTACTGTGTACGTTGTATCTGGAAAAATGAACAATGAACTGAATAAGCTTGATTAATTTACTCATTGCCACCCAAAAAGTATCATTTACTAAGTTTTTCAGCCGATATTAACAAGCGTATTTTTGGTTGAACCCGTAGGTAAAATCATGATCAACATTCCATTGAGTAAAAAATAAAACTTATTTATCATCACCGAGCTTTAGAGAAACTTCTATTTCTACAGCAATATAATTGTGATATTCAATATTAATCACAGTCAGAATTTTGATATGAAACTCAAATATAAAAACGTGTTTGACAAATGTGACCATAATTTTTACTGGTATCTTTTGATTTTTATCTTTCTTACGCTTCGGGATATATTGTCTGTGTAGTGAAAAGTTATATGTTTCATATCCATCATTATATCAAGTAAATTTGTAGGATGATGACTTAACTGTACATATTAAACGATAAATATTAGTTCTGATAGATTATTTCTAAATATTATAACCAGAGATGGATGGTAGTTAGCAGTGGAATCCAGGACGCGTGTTTTGTCCTATTTAAGCAAATATCGAGGCAATCCACACAGGATGCGCATATGTTAATAAAAGTCTGGTGAATAACAGCCCTAAACATCAACGGGAAGGTTCAAACAACCAATACAAAAAATGAATTAACTCTAAGTAATTTGAAAGATCGGAGATCAAATAACTGAAATTACTAGTTGGTCGGAAGCAACGAAATACAAAGTTGTCAAGTCCTGTATCAGGTAAATTTAATAAAAAAACAGGATTGCATACTGAGTATTTACTGTTCGTTATTGTTCCACATAAAACGGATTAAAAGTGACTTACAATGGCAAATTTATTGATAAAATGAGATATGCAAGAACTCAGTATCTTAATTATTGGGCTTTTTACAACTAATATTTATTATCAGATGGGTTTTGTGGATATTATAGTAATTTCAGTGGTTAAGATCATGAGTCAGTTGAAGCAAGACCACCATGGAAAACCTGGAAGCACAGAACGGCCGTTTCGTCCTATTGTGGGACTCCTCAGTAATGCGCATCCACAACCTCGCCTCGCCAGCACTTAACCACTAGAGCACTGAGCCGGCATTCAACAGTGTTAATGTCTGACTTCAACTAATCCAAAAAATTGAGCGAAACGCCCACCATTGTCCTCAGTGAGTTACTACCTCACAACTGACCCGGTTGAACTCCACTGGTCACTGCTTCTCACTAGAACTCTAGGATATACATCTTGAAGCCAGTCACTAGTGAGCATATGTCGATTAATATCAGATGAGTTTTGTGGATACTAAAGTAATGTCAATGGTTAAGATCATGAGTCAGTTGATATTTAAGTTGAAGTCTTCAAATTTATTGATTCACTTCTAATTAAAAAAGTAACTTTCACTAATGAGGGATTGATTTATTTTCTTTAATCAGAAGCACATTCGTCATGCAAATTTAACCATCATTCACTAGTAATGTTGTCTTTATAAAAATATATTATCTATAGTTTAACATGATGTTTGAGCATTTGAGGATTCCAATTATCATTTTAACGTTATTTATGGAATTAACGCATACATAAATTGCATGTTTCATCAAATATATCATAACTCAACCAATATATGTTTATAATTAAAGGTATTAAATCAATGTAACAGAATTTCCAGTTGAATAACTCAAATCTCATCAGTCATTGTTTGATTGATTCGATTTATCACCAAGACTTAACTTATTAACTTTGACAGTTTAATCTAAAAGATTGAAGCACAAAAATACCTGTACAGTTATTTATATGGAAAATATAATTGGTTTGTTAATACCGCTATTCTTATAGTTTCATAGAAGAATGTTTTGAAGAAAATTCAGATATCTACCATCATTTAGCGTTGATTAAAACATATTTTGTCGAATAAAAATATATAGGCTAAGCTACTGGAAAGGTAGAAAACTATCCTTATTCTTGAATAAATAATAAATACTACAGGAACTTTATAAAAAAACTGTAACTCTTAGCTAGTTGGTTAATTAGGGTTATTTAAACTCAAGACATTTTTCAAGACAAGGTCAAAATTAAAAAATAAACAGTAAACATTAGAAGTAATTGGACAGCTGTTTAGTTAATTTACATTTTCTTAGTTCCATCTATCACCAAATTCAGATAGAAGCGAACCCTGCTCCTAGTGTACCGTGGTGATTACGATTAGTTGATCAATCAGAATCAAAATGCCGACAGTTTCCAAATTTATGTACAATTGAGTAATGTATGTTTAAAATATGTCTTTCCTTATCTAACCCACTGGGAGCTTTTAAATGACTTTTAACCTTATTATTAAGGTTCAGTAAGGTTCCTCATTTCCTATCTCATTGATAGATCAAATTTAATTTGATTGACACTCAGTTAAATCCATCACATATTATGTCAACGATGTTATATAATTTCGTTGGGTTTGTCATTCCTAAAATAATCAACAGAATGTTTAATTCATTACTCACTATAAGTACATTAATAAAGGTTCGACATTAAAAATCACCCCAAATGTTTAAGTAACACTAAACGCACACAGCAACAAGGAAAAATTTTGAAGAAAACATCATATCCATATGCTAACACAGTAAAATTTATTTTCTTGCTTATTTACCTGACATTAGTCCATCAACAGTTATTGTCCGGTTTATAAATGTACGAACTGATTCTAACCAATGAACAATACCAGGTTGACGATACTGAACAAAAAATACAGTGCCTGGTAGACCAACATGACTAGGTTCATATATAATAGTAAATCCAGTCTCAGTCACATGAGTAATAACGAATGTTGGTGGACTAGGAGCTGAAAACAACAACATAATAAGAAGAAAATATCGTTGGTTTTCGCACCAATCAGCTATTACAAGAAAATGATAAATTTTCAGAATATTTTTAGTTATCATGAAGACGCTTTCATGATGTATTATCCCAAATTATATTACAAAAACTTTTAGATATTAATCTATCTTAGAATAAACATGCAAGAAAAGCGATAAAACTTTTTAAAATCATACAGAAGAGCATAATGTTAGATTGTGTATATTATTACACTTAATCAACGAAAAGAAAGTCGTTTTGGCTGTGATTTAATCATACCATGCTGATTAACCTGGTCTTATTTTCGATCTGTAATATCATGGGTGTGCAACTAGCTAAATAATCGTTTAATGATCAAGTTGGTGATTAAAATCACATTCTGTAAAATTTATGATAATAATAAGAAAAAATATTTCCAACATTCATACTTGAAATCAGTTGTTTGCCTGACTAGATATCTGCCAACTGAAACCATAGCACTATTGAGCGATTAAAAAAGCAGTAAATCTTTATACATATGGATACTGAAAAGAATTTTGCATTCAGAATATTATTAAACACAGTTTTCAACTTTGCATTAACTAACATCCAACAGATTCAAGGATAAGTGGTAATATAAAAAAATCAAGTTCTATCCAATAATCACTTATAATAAACAAGATACATAAATAAAAGCAAAGTTTGGTGTTATATTCTAAAACTAGTCAATTCATTAATTTTAAATAAAAACTCAATTATGACTTTACCATTAACTGATGCATAAAATGATCTTGACTTAGATATATCTTCATATAAAAGTAGCCACTATTTCAAGTGAATAAATGATTAATGAAAAAGTAACAACAAACGATACTATTAGCAATAGCAAGAAAAGCGTTTTTTCCTAGGTTCAGTTACCTTGATCAGTTGGTGCTGTTTGTATGTCAATAAAATTATCAACTCCAAGACCAGCTGCCGTAATTGGCCATATTGTTATACGGTATGTTGTGTTTCCTTTCAATCGGGACATTCGATAGGATGTTGAAGAGTTATCTGTGATTGGAGGATATCTAAATCCATAGCCAACGTCCAAACCATTTACTGTAAATATTGTTAAATAAAAATTCCACTGTCAATTGTCATGAAGCAACAGAATTGCTGTGCCAAATCTATTCATTGTAAAGTAAGTCTGGCAGATATGTAACTTTTAAACAAATAGACACTAAATAAAAAATCAATCCGAATTTTAAACATTTTGGGCAGTGATTCAAATTTCGTTCCAAACTTAAATAACTAACCTACAAATTACAATGGGGCAATTTATTCTAAACCATCGAAGTGAGTATCAGTGGTCTATATTCTCTATCTTGAGTACACATGTAACCTAATTCCCGCGGGAGAAATATTTAATATAAACATAATTTGTTGATACTGAGACACACGTCGGCATAAACTGAGATTAATTAAAATATACCTCCGTACTTTTAAATCAATACTATAATATTTCAGGAAAGACGATTGGAATTTGGACATATGTGAGGAACGTCATATCAAATAAAGAAAGAGACTAATAGTGTCACTGAAAAAGAAAGGAGGTAATTCAGCAAAGAAAGCTATACAATCTTTTTCATAGTAAGCTTTATTTGCTAAGATAGTAGTCTACAGTTAAATATAAATTTTGAGTGTTTGTGGAAATTGTAGTATTTTCAAAGTTGAAATCACGAATTGGTCTAAACTAGACCACCATTGAAAACCTAGAAACCCGCCCCATGTATGAGACAGTTATCCACCTCAGACAATGAATGAAGGATTGCGCAAGATAACGGATCGCTTGAAGTTAGGCACTAACATCGTTGGATGCGGGCTCAATGATCTAGAGGTTAGGCGTTTATGCGCGAGACCGAAAGTCCTGGGTTTTATTCCTGTATGCGAGATAGTAGATGCGCAATGCTGAGAGGTCTCATACTAGGACGAAACGGTTATTCAGTGCTTAGAAGTTTCCGATAATGATCTAGCTTAGATTGGCTCGTGAATTCAACTTTGAAAATACAGTCAAAAGCTTGAAGTAGTAACTTGTCATGAACTGTTCACAAAAATCAGGTATTGAAAGGTAGTGGTGTGATAATCAGCAAGTAAAAAAAAGTGGTAAGGTACACATAATTGTCCATCTGATAGGTATTAATAACAGAATTATTAAAACTTCTAATAATTGTTAATTACTAGTCGTGAAAACGGTTGAGGAGTAGAAACAATAAAATAAAATAAAGACGATAAATTATGGAAAATAGAAGACAAACATGAAGTTAATATCTCTCATTTATTAAAGTGAAAAACCTACAAATACGGTTTTCGAATTATATGTTTCAATTGAAGTGATAGTTTTGAAAGAAAATTATGCACTAAATTAACGAAACTTTAAAGTCTATGTAGATAGATAGTATCGTTATTGAACATTGTCTTTCATATAATACATAGAACTAAAAAAACAACTGTAGTAGACAAGCAGGTGGAATTAGTGATGTTATTTAACAGTATCTAAACATTTACAATGTTGATAGTTCCAAATCAATTAAACAACTGACTAGAATATTTGACAATGAAATTAAGATAAAATCCTGGTTGAAGAAAAAAACTTTCATACTTAAAAAAAAATTTGTTTCATGGCGATGAGCTTAGTATCATTCTACTAACTGAAATTCTCAGTAAAATGACATGGTATAACTCAAACATATAAAGAAAGTCAGTAAGAGAATGAACTTTTGAAACGATATAATTTTATAATAAAATTATCCATTAAACAATAAAGTAACTAACATTCCATAGCTTCAAGTTCATAGCCTATAATATATCCATTTGGTTCAGTTGGTATAGACCATGATACATCGATATAGTTAACACTGATTGCATCTGCCTGTAAATTGGATATTGGACCAGATAAACCACCTGATGTCATTAATTCTACAATAGGACTAATAAGAAAGAAAAACCACATGTCATTATTTTAGATATTTTCAACATTTTTAATTCATAATGATTAAGTATCGTAAAACTGAGATCGGTTGTGATGTATAAACAAATAGTTTAATACAATCTAATAAATTAACGACGAGATCACAACTAAATGTACTATTCAACAAATGATTGTCTAACAAGCATTGTTTACATTATTTAAGTAGCAAGCAAGGTAACACCAAATGGAATACGGTATAAGCAGCCAGTTACTTTATTGGCAAATTTTTCACACTCTAACACGTATTAAGGCATGGCTCTGAATCCTTTAAAATCGATTATCCCGTTTTGTTGGGTAAAATAACCACCTAGTATCGATATTTCTATGAATATATCCACATATTTTTAACTACCATATGCTTAACAATTAAAACTTCCGACTTATGTAAATGAAGAAAGTCGTTTGTATAAAATAAAACCAAATGACTTATTTTAATATATGTAAAAAATGATCTACAAATTATTTTGCTTATTTAAACAATACTTATGTTTCTTAATTAAAACATACTGGATTTCCATACGCCAAGTTTAAAATTATTATCAATGGGAATATGTCTACGAGTGATAAATTTTTACCTAGCCGGACCAGCGTATTTATTAGTTAGAACCCGAATCCACAGTTTAATATTTGTTGCACCAGGAACTCCAGTAAGCAAGTAGTTTATGCTCATACCCCAATTAAATTCTGGTTGTATTGACTGTTCATCCATTGGGCTAACAGGAGAAAGAGATTGGCGGGGTCTGCGAGCAAGTAACATGCTATAAGCATCTCCAAGTACAGATGGTGACTGAGCAGCTCGAGGAAACAAACCAGCTCCTGGACATGATATATTTCTTTTGGGAGTACTTTTGCAAATAGGATTCGGTTCATCAAGTACTGCGGAATGCATAAGCCATTTATAATAAGCTTTTCTTGAAGCAGGTAGATAACGTTCCAAAACTGATTCATAGGCATGAAAAATATCACCTTCAGTTGTACTTGGATGATCAATCGTTTTCTCCATCGTTTCTATAGATCTTCGTCGACGATTGGTATAAAGAACTGGAGTACTAGGTACACGAAATATTATATCCTAAGTAATTTTACGGGAAAAGTTAAAATAACAGATAATGAATAAAATGGAAAGTGAAAACAGGAAATCTAAACGATTTTTTGAAAATAGTAAACCGAGTAGAGAAGTTTCAAGGATTTAAATATTAAAGTTAATGTAGCTTATCAGGAAAGTCTGTTTCCAGCAGTAAGTTCACTGATAATATAGATAGAATAAACTTCAACACCGAGTTGTTTGGATACTAACAAGTTAGTCGTTATTTTGACCGTATTAATTTATCATGGACCTCTATGTCTGCAGCTCTTGTCGAAACTGGTACAAAATATAGGCAGGCTGAATCTCTTCTAGAAGTTATTAATAATCCCGTTGATAACCGTGAAGAAAATAATCTAACAAACAAACTGAGAGAAGAGTACATGTTCGCATTTCTGAGCATGTTCCAAAGAACTTGAGGCTGCGAGGGACTAGGGCTCTCAACAGTGCAATAGCTCGGCACTTACTTGACACAGGGCATACCATCGACATTCCACACGCTTTTAAAATTATCAGCAGACAAAGTACAGCTGCTCTCCGTTTTGCTGAAGCGATCGCGATAAAGAAACTTAGACCGGATTTATGTATTCAAAAAGAGACAGTAATAAACTTATTATCACCCTGGTAATCCACTTTTCTTTCTTTTTTTTGTTTTTTGGTTGTCATTTTATTCACTTATTTATTTTTAAAATATTTATTTTGTGTTATATTCCTCCCCCATTACCGAGTTTTTAAGCCAACTTTTCATTCACACATTTCCGCCCACTGGTCCTCTTAAATTATGTTAACTTTTAAAATTCTATTCCATTATTACCTAACCTATCTTATCACTGTTTAATTCCATGATTTCTTCATTACCTTTAAACTACACAATTTATGAACTCTACTCAACTATTACACCACCCATCCCGAATTGTTTCCTTAATTCTAACACCAATTAAACTCTGACCTGTTCTTGCATAAATATATATAGTTATTATTGTAAACCTTTGTCATTCCAATTATTTACATTCATTTGTGTCAATTGTTTCACACCATTTCTTATCTCAATGTAAAATTCTAATACACATTTGGTTTGTAAGCAGCTGACGGGAAACCTCGAAATATTATGAAGTCATACTATTCTGCATCAATATTTGTTCTTACTTTATTCAAACCATTTCTTTTGAATTAAACCTTTCTCATGTAATTCACATATCTAATCCATCTAATTGCTTTTAATGGTACTCTACTTCATGGGTATATTCATGTTTTTTCCCCGTAAAAATATTTTAAATGTATATTGTTTTGCTTACTTTAAATTGTCTTAATGCATCACATTTTACTGGATCTAAACTTGCATCACACCATTCAATTCGATAACCTCTAAAAAATCCTTTAATATCAGCTACTTGATTAGCTTCTATTATTTTTAACTTTAAATGAACTCCTTGAACAGTTGAATTTATAACAGTAGGTGCCGGTGGTGAAACTGTTGGCATAGCTTCACTAGAATAACCTAAAGCCACAGTAGGCGACTGAGTACTGACACCTTTTTCATTGCGACTTTGTATTGTAACCTTAAAAACAATAATATAAAAAGTTAAATATAATTTAAATCATACTAATAATCTATTAAAACTACAACTGTAAATAACTCATTGAAATAAATATTGAAACATTTGAAATTTGTTTTTCTTTCAATATCATTCCTACTTAAAATAATCGATTAAAGAAAAAGTAAAACTCTTTCCACTTATCAACTAAATTTATTACAAAATTGGAATAATCTATTACCACAATTAACATTACAATAGATTATTTGAGGTAACCATATAATCACAAAAATAAAAGTTTTTTTTTAAACGTTTGATTGTTTTATGGTATTGTTTCAATCACCGTTTCAAAATACTGAGTTAATAATTTGTTTTTAAAGTGTTTTATATAACCCACCATTAAGATCTGGTTTCAATTATAAATAATATTGAGCAATATATATCACTAAAAATTATTATTACAACAAACTTATATTACCTATCAAATGAAAAGATAATTCAACGGCTCATTCTTGCATTATTCCTTTCAATGTCTCTGTGAAGACATTTCTAAATAAACATTTTAAAAAATAATCCCAATTTTAAAAGTTTCAATTTAACAATTCTTGGAGTTCTAGTGAAAAGCAGTGACCATTGGAGTTCAACCGGATCTGTTGTGAGATAGTAAATCACTGAAGACAATGATGGGCGTGTCGTTCAATTTCCTGGATTAGTTGAAGTTAGACATTAACACCGCTGGATCCGACCGGCTCAATGGTCTATAGGTTAAGCGTTCACACGCGAGACCGACAGGTCCTGGGTTCAAATCCCGCGGGGCAGGATCGTGGATATACACTGCTGAGGAGTCCCATAATAGAACGAAACGGCCGTTCAGTGCTTCTAAATTCTTCATGGTGGTCTAGCGTCAATTGACTTATGATCTCAGCTATTGAATTAAAAACATTTGTTTACTTGTAATTAGTAATGCTTAATAGTAGGATGCGAAACTTAAGGTTTCTTTTAAATAAAATAATGGTATCTTTGTTAAGACTTATAACCAGTGTTGATCAATCTAAGCAAGAGAGAATTAACCGTCTGAGAACTCATTTACGACTGCTAATACTTATCTATACAATATAAATCGATACTGAGAATTGTGATTTACCACTAATGAATCATTCATATTTAAAAAACATTAATTTATCCCATGAACTAACTCCTAGTTGTCGTGTTTTTTAAAAAATTTTCGATGGTACCGACAATCAACTGATTTTACAAGACACCTTTTAATTAAGCTTTGCATTGTAATTCAATCAGGTTTTTAATTTGACTAGACTTTTCCTACATTGATCTGGAAATACGAACTGCGGTTGGTTAGTTCTTGTGATGGGAATTCCATCAGAAATTAAATCACATAATCTTAGTAATAAAATAAATATTTTCGATGTTTCAATAAATTTGAAAACAACATGTAGTACAATGAACTAATAAGTGAACGCAGTTACAACTTATAGAAATAAAAAAGGATAACCTTTTAGTAGAAACAGTCAGTCACACACAAACTCACAAGTGATATATTCATTACAGTTGATAAACAAGTTAGGTCACAACTTATCAGCTTGAAGGATAAATTTCTAGAATAAATTATGGAACTTGCAAAAAGTATATATGGCGGAAAGAAACCTAAAGTGGCCAATACCTAAACTTTCACAGCTAGTATCCTATAAGCTGTAAATATAGATTAATGAAAATCTCAAAAAGAAGTATAATGAAATATAAATATTTGTTTGCACGTAAACAAATATCTTCAATCATTTATATAGAAATATAGTACTAACTACCGAAATTAAAAAGTAGTTTAGAAGCCCCAAAAGAAACAGGTTTTTATCTGATTGTCATTCATTCAGAGGTGATCAAATAATAAACAAAATTAATCGAAAACAAAAAACCGCTTTGAAAAGAGCGTTTTCAGCTGCAACATAGGTCACATAATGCACGACATTATTCTCAGTCACACAAACAAACGTAGACAAATATCCATTATACGTCACCAACTGCATTTATCAGTTTACATGTACATGCAAAGGTATGTGCATTTGAAGGATAGGGAGGTGGGCTTCTATCTGTTTTATTGAGTATATCCCTTTAGAAGGACGAAATAACGTTCTTAGTTCGATAATTTGCCATCTGTTGGACACGGAGTATAACTTTGACGCAACGAACGTCTTAAAGTGATCAATAAATAATTGGTTTCCATCTTATTAACATTCATGGGACTTTCAGCTGTTAGTAGGCATAAGACTGAATTTTGTACTCAAAAGCGGTCTCCTATTAACCTTCCACTACCTTGATAAATTAAACAAGTTGAACATTTTGATCCGTTTTTTTCTTTTTTTTCAATTAACTATAATCTGGTGTGTTTAATTTACAAGTTCTCTTTTCTTATTAAACTTCGTAGGTTTTCATTATATTACGTATTAATATTACCACACATTCTAGAACACATCAAACATTTGGAAGGAAACGTGTTACTAATATTAATTTGAAACTTCTTTTACATTCTTAAAAACCTATTCATCATTTATTGACAATTGATTTCTTCTATATTCAATATTCCATTATTAATTAGAAATGATTGAATAGATTAGCAATGAAATGAAATGAATTTATCTTGTTATTCTTGCTTTGTTTGAACCATAATTAACAAAAATTTGAAGATGTAGGAAAGATATAAGATGAAAGCATCATTGAAGAACTTTGTGAACTGTAAGCACTTTCGATCTCGTCTATTTATTTATTAATTTATTTAGCAACGCCATATGATACAAGTTTCTCTCGAGTATTGTAGAGAACGAGAATACAAGCGGGGACAATCGAATGTAATTGAACACAAAATTACAGAACATCTTAGCGAAATCTAAGAATCATACAGTAAATACTTCATTTGCAAAATGTCTATCAATCGTCTCAGACTTGACTGTTCCTTTTGGAAATATCAGTCAAACATCTCAAACTTCATTGTTCTTTGGTCTCCACAGCAATCATTCTTTGTTCTCGTTCTCTTTACTTTGATCTTCTTAGCCTTATGCCGCCAGGTATTTCACTTTCGATTGATGATACATACTACTTTAATCTGTCGACACCAGTAGCACACACCACAGTATTAGATTGTTTATTTCTGACTGACTGATATTGGTTATTTCATAATCAATAATCAGAAAACCAATTCTTTATAAAGTAAATAAGACTTATAATATGCAAGTGATATTGAAGTGAATGTAATGCAAAAACTCAAACTTTTAGCTTAATCTCAAAAATAGTAAGATAAAACTATCACAAAAACTAATAATATATATCACTAATATATAAGATTAAAATAGATGACTTGCTCGAAATAATTTATAAGATTCAATTTCAGAAACAACAACACCAGCTTTAAATGATGTATATACAATACGATCAGTTCTCCAATCACCTATTACTGTTGTATTCACGGCACTTGATTGTACAGAGGCACAATTCAAACATTGAACAGTAAGAATATAACCTAAATTGTTTCCATTATGTTCTATAAACGGCAATGTCTACAAAAAATGTGCAAAATAAAAATAATCAGTTGCCAACAAGATCATAAGATTATATGAATAAATATGAAATTCACCATATAGTTAAGAGTGAGGATTATTTAACTTTGAAGTTAAAATTAAAATTAAGGTATTAAAGGATTTGTAAACACCATAATGTTAGGTTAACATTAGCTTGATAATATTATTTCTATCAATTAACCAATATTGGATAGATTTCGACAAATGAATTACAAAATCTGTGATATTTTCAGTTAATTATTCTGTACAAGTGGATTTAGAAATTAATAGATTATCAACATTTAAAAAATATTTTTGTTGTCAACCCCCTTCCTCGTCAAAAAAAGGAACACCATTTTTGGTTTTATAGACATATTAACGACTAGTTAAGACTGCAAAGATCGAATAGACAAACAAATGCGGTAAATTAATGTTTTCCTTTTTGTTATTACACATTTGTACTAATCTAACTGATCTCATTTTACAAATTAAAGAAAAACTTGTTTTTTGTAGAAGAAAAAATGTTTCCTTCATAATAGTTTTATTACAAAGCTTCATCTAATGTTTCGTAATAGTATTATTAAACTCAGAAAGAAATTCCTAAATATGTGGCATTATAGGCATAAACTAATCATTCGAGAAAATGATTTCAAAATCAACATTTGAATAATCTCCAGTCAATCAACTGAATGTAACAAAGTGATACTTGAAAGAATATCTTAGTGTATAGCTGAAGCGATCTGGGTCAACTCTAGAAAACCGAAATTATGTAACCAGAATAGGTTTATTCAGCCTCTATGTTTACTGTGTTCAACGACTGAATCACCGGATACCTAAACTTTGTATTATCAAGCTCTTATCTCCTCTTTCCAATTCCTTTTCTGTTTATATCTCCCTTATTCTTCATAATCATCTTTCCCAATTCACATGAATTCTTTTTTTGTCGTAATTACCTTGATAACACCCCACTTATTACATATTATATTCATACAACGATATTATTATCACCTTGTTTAAGAAGCCGAAATTTTCCTATTATGCATTTTATCCACATGATTTTATATTTTGTTACATTACTAATATATTGATTGTGACTTGACACCTTACTCCAAATCATTCTGACCTTTCTAATTTACAGTTCATACAATTGCAAAGTATTTATATCGTAACAGATGTAAACATTCACCATTTTCAATATATAACACTGTCAAACCCCAAGAGTTTCCAGTTAGAATTCATCTGTAAAACAGTTCTGTTATGTACGCTAATAAGATGTTTGTATCATATCTGAAAACTGATTCAATGGATCTTTGGATATTTGCATGTAAATAGAATCTGGGTTACAGAATTTTAAATAAAATTTTTAGCATGTAATAACTGGTATTTGCAAAAACTGCAGTGGCTGGTACTATGTCAAGCCCACATAGGTTTTTCTAGCGTCCGGACAGACTAATTTATTGATTCTCCTCAAGGCATATTTCCACCTTATCACTTATTCGCTTGTTAACCTTGACTGTTTTTATGTGATCGTATATGTGTTAATTACTTATCTTAATCATTATGCGTCTGTAACTTAATATTGTTTGGGTATATACATATCGATTCACTAATGGTTAAATGAAGTTGGCTTACTTGCCATCTCTACTCTACGTCATTTCGCTTCGCTCACTCCCCTTCTCTTTCTCCGCTTCGTTTCTTTGATCGTCTGTCTGGATCAACGATTGTACGAAATATACTTATTCGAATTCCATTCTCGTATTTGACTTATTTGATTCCGTTATTCACTAACGCGATTTAAGTCGATGATAATATACGAGGTTAGACGGTAAATATAAATCGATAACAATCATTCATACAATCGAACTTGAGTCAGACAAAGAGCCACTAAAAAACTACAAAAGGAATATAAACTGAACGTGATCAATGTAAATATTTCATGGAATACAGCTAGATTACATCATGTAGGAAAAGTTAACAAAATTAAATTTATTAAACTTACTGTCCATCTAATCACTAGATTATTGCCTATTGTTCCAAATACATAAAGTTCTCTAGGATTAACTGATGGTACACGTCCAGGAATACCGCATGTTTTTGTAGTTGGTTGACTAGGTAGAGAAACACCAACACGGTTTCTTGTTCGAACACGAAACTGATATTGGATATTTGGCCTTAACACAACCTGTAACAAAATATTTATTTTGTTTTGAAGTTAAAGGCGATGATTGCTAATTATATAACTTAATAATATCTATTATATGGTCATGTGATATACAAATATTGCTACATATCGTCTGTTGTAAGTACAAAATGTCTACATTACAAAGTTGATATTACAAGTTCACAATAGTTTGTAAGTTGAATCTTCCCATGCATGAAGAAGTAAACATCAGTTTACGCACAAACATAGGCAAACAAACGTAGAGACTAGCTATGCGAATAACGCAATGGCTTTTGAAGCGAACATCAATTCTCGAATCCAGATGCATCTAGCTGACAAGTCCCAAACAGGACGAAAAGAGTGTCCTGGATTACACTGATAACTACTACCCATCTCTGCTTAGAATGCCTGTGGCTTACTGGCAATATCAAGGAAATTCGGTTAGGGTGTAAATTTGCCAAAAGTGACTGATCAATTGCAATCTTAAACATCAATAACAAGATCAGACTAACCAAATATGGATTAAAATGACATAAACCTAATTCTGAAACAAAAAGAAACGCTTGACAAGGAATTTCGTCTAAATTTGAACAAATAGCTTTGCAGCAGTGAAACAAATGTTTAATTAAAAATGCTACTCGATTTTCAACAAATCATGCTGAAAAATAACACCTCGTTTGAATAAAACTATTTCTAAAACCATTCAAATTTATATATATATATATATATATATCGAGACTATTCAAGTACATCTAGTGAATAACAAGTAGTAGATATATCTAGGACTGCGATTAGCTTTACAAATGTGAAAACATTATAGATTATAGAACGATTACTTTGCCTTCGTTCAAATTTATTAAATGGTAGAAACGCTTAACTTCATATCTAAGTGAAGTAGGAAACTGTTGGGGACGATATATCCCCAAAACTCATATTTGTAATTTTATCATATCGATTAACTTATCGATTAAATGATCAAAAGCTCCATGGCAATATCGATATATATATTTGCATATATACTTTTTAAATTGTGTTTGTAGTGCTTGCTCGTTTTCTGGATGTTTTGCAGAATATATTTTCCATACCAAGCTTGGACTTCTCCTTCTAGGTAGCGGGGCTGGGACGCATCAATAGCTAGATTACTGGTCTTTGGTCACTGAGTCTTGTTCTCGTTCGCAGATTAAGTGAACTCGTGAAGCTTCAAACCTAACAGAAACATTCTGTACTGTGTCACCGACTTAACTGGGTTAGTCAGTCAATTAAAATCAGCATAGCACTTGCCAAAAATATACATCAGCCCATGTTGCTACATCACTTCATCATGCCGAGATGAAATTAACAGCATCAATAACAAAGTATTCAGCATAATACCGCAAATTATACTTAAAAAGTTAAGCATAAAGAATATGGTTCGAAATGACTGAATAATAGTATAAAAAGTAAAAATTAATGATGAAACTAAACACTGGGGGACAGTAAAGAATGAATGGAATTGTGCCACTATAACCGACTTTCAGCTACGCCAGCCAACATCTCTTACCACTCGTTATCACAATCAATCAGCAACCAACCAGATAATCTACCCCTACCAATACTCCCCATGTTAACAACCCATAACTTCATAGACTGATATCAAGTCAGTGTTTGGTCGCCCCTAGTTTCTTTTTAATCTACTCCCACGTCAATTAGCATCGCATATCATGGTACGTGGTGGTTTGGACATATGTATCATAGGTCTAACAAACCTAGTTGAGAATCAATGTCCTATAGCTTTTTTATATTTCAGTGAAGAATATCATGAGAAATATACTGACCTTAATTGAAGTACTTTGAACCAATCCAGTTAAGTTGAAGATTTCAGCTGGATACCAGGTGTCGCGTTCAAATTGGGTGGAATATTCAACTATATACTCCATAATAGGAGCATAATTATCAGATCCTGGATACCAAGTTATCAGAGCCAATTCCTCATTAATAAAATCAACACAATTAACTTGTACATTAATGGCTTGTTCTGGTCGACCTACAAATAAAAATTTAAAACATTGTAGATATACAATATTAGTAATGAATGTGTTTAGTCAGTTGAATAATACTGAAACCTAACCAAATTATTATGTCATTTTTTAACATGATTCGCTTAATGAAGATTGAACACTAAACATTCACTTGTAGATGAGACTTGTTAAAAACATAGATCAACCAATTTATTGAGTAGGTTTGTACATGGGTAGCCCGGTTATATTTTGTCTTTGTTATTCCTCCTATTTACCTCACTAATAATATTCTTGCCTTGTAAAAATTTCTTTATTCTTAGACTGTTAAGAGTTCAGGATAGTCTAGTCACCGCTTAAGGATGGGTTAAGATGGAGAGTTACCATATGGAGCTGCTTCAAAGTAATTAGGCAACTACAATTCATACTTGTTTCACTCACTCATATAAAACCATATATTATATTCAAAGCTCAAATAAATCAAATTTTAATACCTTAATTGATGAATATGTTAGATTTAGTATAGTTTGTATGGATTTCTATCAACAACTTTCGAATATTTAACATTAAAATCAATCTACTAACATAACTCAAAGGTTTTTATTAGATTCCCTAATTGACAGACATGAGCTATAAACCACCACCAAATTGATATCATACTGATTTTAATTATAACCAAATCTTAAAACGCTTTCAAGAACAACGTATTTTTTCAACACACGGTGCCATATCACTCCATTTATAAGTTATGATATAAATATTTACAATCATACATCGCATAGTTATACCAGCATCCTAATATGTATAAAAGTGAAAATAAACAACGAGAACTCATGAGCAACATATTACTAATTACCTTGGACAAGTAGTGGTGCAGTAGCTGTATCAAAATCTAAACCATTACTAGCATTACAACGATACTGTCCAGTATCACGAGGTTGGGCACCACTTAAAACCAACGCATAATCAAACCAGACTTGTTGAATTCTAGGTGTTAAATTTGGATCAATATAATTATCATCCTTATACCATGTAATTTTAAGATTAGATACTTCGGCTGGATCCGTTTCAGCTGTACAGACAAATTTGACGACATCATTTTCATATACTCTTGTGTTGATTGGAGCAAGAACAATTCTAGTTTTGCGTCTTACTAACAATTTCCCTGAGGCCTTTTTACTTCCAAATGGATTTGTTGCTGTGCACTCATAAACACCAGAATCAGTAATAGCCACAGACTAAAAAAGATGAAGATATCTTTAAAATGTTTGTCAATACTAACACAGAAAACCATTTTAATTTACTTATATTGATAGTACACATATCAAAGATAAACAGAATAAAATAATAACCTCATTTTAACCCAACGCTAAGTAGAGCAGTATCTACCGATTCGGCAAAACATTCGTTGAATTAAAATATAGTGAGTTTTCATTTTTATCAGTGATGTCCAGAATGATAGTGGAAGCCCCATCAGTTAAACAACCCAGCTCAAAGAACACAAGATATATCCAAAAATAGCCTTTTGAGCTACAAAACCTCCCAACTATTTTGAAACTCAAATGAAGTCCAAAAGTTCAAGCTAGCAACATCAAATTCGGCAAATGAACTAGACTCTGCAAGAAATCTATTGAGACACTTGACAGTTTGGTTGAGTTTAGGAATAAGCTTTAATAAACTGATACACAAATTACCAGTCATAGAGCTTACAGTCGTTAAGATAAATAGATGTTTATCATAGCATAAAACTCAGAACTAGTTAAACTTATTATACCTGTTTTTTGTTCGTTTGGGTTCAAATTTACTTTAGAAAGATTCCGTTTGAAAAGACTTATATGCAAAAGTTTGTGTGTAAAGTGAGTTTAGAGTTCACATGATTTTAGCTCGCGCTTCAAATATAGTTTTTCTTTCTTCTGACATTTATCTTAAGTGTTGAAAGTCTTACGTTACAAAAAAACCTCTGAGCAACTGCACAGCGTCATCTAAGGTAGCTCTTTGACTTAGTAGTATATTATTCGACCTATATTGCCAAGCTATTAAGGTTGCTAGTCATGGATAGCTGATAATTTTCTGCCATGATGAAAACATAGAACACTGATTTCAGCTAACCACCTTGATCCATAAGGCATCCATGAAGCTTGCTATTTCTGCCAATTTAACTTCGAAAAAATTTCATATGCATTTAGTTAGCAGTATTTTATGTCATGAACAAGGAAACGAGTTTGAATAATATTATGTCAATAACATAATACATTTGATCTCCAGAGATGATCGAAAGCAGTAGATCCTGCCTTCTTTTATAGACAGTTCCGTTAGGAATAAGGGCTATCTTCAGACTAATCATTTTCTCAAAAACGCTCTTCAAATGAATAACAACCAACCTAATACCACACTAAAATCTTGGGTATGAATATCATCGCAATATAGATTTTCTTTCCACTATCAAATACTAGTCATTTAAAAATATTTATAATTATGAAGATTACTTATAATACACTTACTTCAATAAATAAATCCCCAGATGCTAATATTTTATATCGACCACCATTAATTGGTCGTCTATCTTTAGTCCATGAGATGATAGCTTTGGGTGCTGAAAATGTTTGACAAAATAATGTGACTTGATTTCCGTCTACCGCACGTACAACAGATTCTGGTGGTTTCATAAAATAAGGTGCTTCACGCATAACATTTACATAAGCATTTGTAAAAGCATAGCCAAATTTATTAGATGCATTACACTGAATAACTGCGCTATCTTTAATTGTTAAATTACTCAATTGCATTGTCTGAAACGTTTGAAAAAATGAACATATAAGAGTATAAGATTTTATAGCTTACTAATTTGATCAAATACTGAATACTCTTAGAAGTTAATTGTGGAGTCAATAACAATCAACAATATTTCACTTTGGTCGGAAGTAACAATCCCTCTGATTAGTTTGAATATGACCAAATAACAAAAGTACAAATAATATATATATACCGTACAATAATGATTATTTGTAAACCAACTTTACGCTTCTGGTAGGTTTGCTTCCAACCAGCGAAAAAGTCACGAATTTGTTAAAATAATAAAAATGAAGGATAGAGCTCTATTACATTTATATTTTCAAATGGTATTCAAGTGACATTATGTGATAAAAACCTATTTCGAAGTACTTTACGAACTATCAACACACCATAACTTATAGGATCAATGAGATCGTCTCCTGTACAATGTATTACATTCCGTATTCGTCTCCATATGATAGGTATTTTACTCTATAGCTATACATATAATAATCTTTCATGTTAAGTAGATGTATATTAACGGCAGAGAGCCATGGACTTAGATGTCAAGATAGTTGGAACAATTCAACAGGATGTACTTGGAAGAACTGGTACGCCCTGTTCAATTTGAAGATACATCAACTAGTATCCTAGTCTGAAACATTATCACTGACCTATTTAGGCATCGACCGGTCTACATGGGATTGATATATTTACTTTGACTGATCACCAAGTAGTCAGTAGTGATATGTTCATTTAGTCATCCAAACATCTCATAACTAAATATAGTATACATGATGTCCAGTTAATTATTTTCATAATGACCCATAGAAGGTGACAACATCACATTTAATATATTTCGGAAGAAACTGCTGAAATTCAAAAGGTTCTTTTGGTATACCTATCAGACCAACCTTTTTTACTATTGAAAGAAACTATCAAAATGTCCAGTAAAATATTAAATAACAATATCTATGAAATACATTCATTTCACGCAACTTGAATGTAAGTTTGAACAACAGTCAACAAATGAACCAAATGAATAAAACTATTTGCTTTTGTTAGTCAAAATGAAATGTCAATGTTTATCATTTACATTTATTAATTGTCAAATTATATTCCCAATCAATTAATCATTTAGATACAAAAAGTCAATCAAATCAATTCAATTTATTTTCAATAGTATCTCTTCTAAATAATTTTATAATTTACTTACATTTCCATGTAAAACTTTACGTACACCATCTAAATAACTAGATGGATCTTCACCATTTATAGTCCAACGTATTTTAGGCGGTGGATCTCCTGATGCTGTACATCGAAATGTTACTGATCCATTTACAGGTACAGTAATATCTTCAGGTTTTTCTATAAATTTCGGACGAACTAAAATACATTAAAAAATATAATGATTGATATATTTATTCTTTTAAATAAATAATAAAAAACAAACGAAAAACTTAATACACAATAAACTATGTCATCATATTGTTTTTTATATATAAAAAAAGCCAAAATGTCAATTTTACTATAATAAAACAAAAGCAAGTTATTCACAATAGTTAATGTTTACGTGAACATATATAATTGATGAATTATAAAGGGGGGGAGGGGGAAAGGTAGAAACAAAGAGAACAATATGGTGAGATCTATTTACAATAATTTGTTAAAGTTACTTCAATGTTATTTTGTTGATTTGTTCATTTATTTATTCGTTTTTCTCTTTTTATACATTGAAACGAAAAAAGGAATGTTTACAATGAATTTATGTATAATCTTACTGTTTTCTGCTTTAAAATTATTTAATTTTATTTAAAAACAACCAAATAGATAGGAAATTAACACAACTTAATGAAAAATATGCCTTAGAAATTCTTAAACAAAAGATGATAAGAATATCTATTAACTGTTTAAATCATGTAATGATTATTAAAATTGATTAAAATAACTTATTGTGTTCAATTAATGTGTATGATCTGGCAACTTGGACTGATGCATGTATGTGCCTGATCCTACGTTGTAACTGACTGATTGATGATAGTTTCTGTTGTGACGTGAGTGACTGCAGATTATGGAGCAGCGTATTTATCGATCGCTTCAGTGACACTGAAAACACGTAAGGACGACCTAGAGTCTCAATTGGTACCGCTTCCCTGTCTAGCCCAGCCAGTTGAGTCCAGAAGGCAAGTCTTAGCCTCTGAGATATGAATCATTATATTTCAGACATACTCTATTTATATACCAATCAACCAGACCACATCATACCATAAAATAGAAAACAACATTTGTACAATATTTGACAAGTGAAATAAATATTGACCAATAGGAAATGTCCATTTAACGTCCAAGGACATCATTAGACTTAACACGATAATTATTGGTATATTCCTCTGCATCTCTAACAGTTTCTTTAATGTACTGCAGATATGTGAGAATTGTTTTTTTAGTTGTGTTTTATTTTAAGATTCAGTATTCAATCATCTACTTGTAATCGTGTTCTTCATTATTTAATTTCTTAATAGACCTAACGCCTTAAAAGTTTATTTGTTTTAAACAATTTTTCTAAACAATAATATCTAATAAAATAAAGTTAGCACTTAATATTGTCGCTTGACACCACCATATACTCTAATGTTCATTCTATATCAAAAAGACTTTGATAGATTTAAAGGGGTATAAAATATGATTGAATAAGAGCCTACTTAAAAATGTTGTACCGTTCGAAAACCTGTGGTTCTCTTGACGAATGAATTTTGAAACATAATCAATCTTTCCAAAGAAAATAACTGAAATATTTTATTCAAATCAATTAGACTACTATTTTTATACGTCAAGAATTATAACAATGAATGGTTTCTTTTTAAATATTTATCACTAGATAAACTAGAATTTCTGAAATACAAAGCACTTCTACAATATATGTTATCTGAAAATCCCTTCACAAATCTCATATGATTCCACTATAAATCTAAGAAAGATGAAAACATATGATACATTTTTTCATCGAAAACCATTCGGTTACTTAACTCAAAATAAAACCATGTTAGTATAAATAGATAATTTTTGAATTCATACAGTTTTCCTAGCCGATCCTCAAAAATATGAAGTAATAATTACACCATATCCTACCATTCACCAGATCTACAAAAATGATATACTTAACTGATTCAGTGTACGCAACGCAATGGTTAAAAGATCAATATTACAGACAAGTGTTTTCTTTTAAAAATTTGAATAAGTTCAGAACAATAATTGAGGCGGGATAATATGAATTCTTCTTACTTTGTGATTTTTTATCAGCTGCTCACAATCACGAAATAAAAATGTGTCGTTGGTTATTTTAGAAACTACATTTTATTATCGGTTATTTGTTCATGATATGATATTTCATAATCATGTAAGTTGTTTTTTTCGCTTAATGTCTATTTAGCTGAAATCTTAGACTAATTACTTGAATTTAAGTCGATTCATTCATTTCAGAAAACTAATTATACAATCAGAATCCACTATAGTATTCTTTAATGTCTTTCATAATAATGGTCCTTTTCAGAGAACATCATACTAAGACATATTGATAACTCCTTTCAACCAATTCACAGTCGGATTTTTTGACAATTATAATCAAATTGAAAACTATTTAACTATTCCTAAGATAGTGAAAAAAGTAAGTGAATTAATTGATTTACGAAGGTTTCAAAAACAAAACCAGGAAATTGTTTCATATAGACGCACATTATTGATAAAACAAATATCGTACAAATATTTATCGCTTTTTCATTAATTTTGAGACCATCTGAATAGAGTAGAAAGTTTTGTCTTTTGATTTAGCATCTAAATACAACTATGGTAATTATAGTCTCAACCTACAACAAATCATACTGTAATTCCGAAAGTTACACAGAATAATTGTGGCTACTTGTTAGTAGTCTATGACTTTTAACGAAATAGTTACCTCGTACAAAGACGGTAAATTGACTATTCACTGTATTTTTTGTTACTTCATTTATTCCTTGACATCTGTATTCACCAGCAGATTCAATAGTTACAGGGTTTATTTCTAACATTGTGCCCATATTCTTAATCTTTACATTCGGCAGCTGAAATCGAATGAAAGAAAAATGTGAATCTTGATCAAAACAAGTTGCGAATACGAATAAAATATTTAAGCATGTGTTTTCAGAACCAATTAACATCTTAAAACGTTGATATAAAAGGTCATAGGGAAGTTTTGTTAGGTTAAATGATTTCCCGGACAATATCACCAGAATAGTCACTAGTTTGTGTTTTTCAATAAAAAACTGAACAATATTGGAGTTTGAATAACATCCATTGAGATTAAGATTTTTAATCAACTGGACCTAGTATGAGTACTAAAAATGAGGATTACTTGGTTAAAAGTAGCTCTGTATTGTGTAAATTGAACTCAAATTAACGGTTGGCAATTTACCCTGACAATGAGTACGAAAAAGCTATGAAACAAACAATAAGATAAATTTATCACTTACATCATCGAAATAAATAAATTCTTAATAAACTAAATGAGCTTTTGAAATGTATATAGCTTGCCCATAAAAGTGAATATTCGAGAAGTTCGTAACTTACAATACTAGAGAACAACTTCTTATCGGAATACCTACTACTTATCTTGATATTTTACCATTTCTGTCGGCGTTTGTGTGTCAATTCGAATCGATCAAAGAAATAATAATTTTACAAGGTAATGTTGGTATTGTCTCGTCAGGACTTCGTATGAGACCTCATCTCATCTGACCTTTCAATTACTCTTTAACCGAATCCAAATTTTATTAGTAAGTCCGCCGAAAATCAAAGACGTGAGCAACAGATCAAGAGAGTTTCAAAATCAACTGTTTTTTCCATCAGTAAATGATTTTTGAACCTGTGACTGTGGCTCACAGGTCACGGAACAAAATGGTAAGTTATCACAGGATTCATTCGTTTTCAGTGTTTTGTGTTCCAAATAACTTGTAGAAACTATAATATTTGGACTCTATTATAAATCCCTTTAAGTAATCAATAATAGAATAAGCATGTGTAACTAACTGTTAGTCAATATGATTTTATATAATAAAATTTATCCAACAACCTCATCTTGATATCACAATTGAAAAATAGTAAGTTTTCATTCAAAAAATTTTGAAATATGCCTACAGTAATTTTTTCACTTTCATCTTTGAACCAGGTATACTGTGGTTCAGGATAACCACTGTAGATACATCTCAGTTGAACTATATCACCAACTGCAGCATCTTCTGTTCTTGGGGACCTGTAGTCTGTCTTCACTGGGTATGTAGACTACAAAATTTTACACAAGTAAAAAGGTATGTCCTGTAATTTAAATAATCTTAGAAAAGATGGTATATTTAAAAACGAAATAGATAATATACTTTAGAAGTAACAAAATTAACGGGATATATGTAAAACCCGAAACAATACTTTATGATAAACATTCATTATCTACAAGAATATTTGTTAACGACCGACATAGATCAGTGGCATATTTTCAATCAGAGACAAAGGCGAGCTAGCTGACCAGCTTAGTTCGAAGCACTCGTATAAAGTTTTGTCAGATGTCCTAGTTCAACAAATCGATTTCCTTTACTGTAAGCTTTTATGTAGATTTTCAAATTTTATACTTATCGTATACTGATCTTAAACGACTCTGAAAAATGAAGAGGTATTGATCAATTGTTGCGCCCTCGTATTGGACTCCCCAGAAGTAGAGACCCATGGCTTGACCTCCAGAGACCGAACCCAAGACCTTCGTCCTCCTACAGGGACATCCAAATCATAAACGATTATGGTGATTAACTATCATTTGTTCAGTAGTGACTGGAGTTTCAGTGGGAGTCTGCGGCTGATACAATTCAACCAGGTCGAGTGTGAAGCATATTTACTTTGTATTCGATTATGTTTTTACGGCAAATAATTTTAGCACGATTAGTCAGGGTTTTTACTAAGTGTCTTTCATATCTATGTAGCAAAGGACTATAAAATGAATGTATTATCCAGTAGCATATTTTTGAGTGAATTCACAAAAATAAATGCAAATCTCTTTAGGAAAAATAAAGTCACTTACCTGTTGTCCATGAACAGAGAGACGAAACGACGGACCACTCTTCTGAATACGTAGTACTTCATTATTTGCTACACATGTATATAGTGTATCATCATCTTCAGGGATAACTGTAGCAATGTAAAGATAACCTTGGAACAGAAGAAATTAAAACAGAATCCAATTCTTTATCATATAAAACACATGAAATAAAAATTTACACCATAGATTTGTGTTACAAGTATGAAATAGAAATCATAGTAATCTGTTTAATTTGCTTATTCGATTCTCTAATAATAAAGCATCTTGATGAAGTATTTTTCTCTCAGATGGGTGGTTTGGTCATGGAGCCTTCATAGTTATTCTGAACGACATCACCAACACTTCTACCTGGAGTTTGTGCTGACGTCGTTTAGAATAACTATGAAGGCTCCATGATCAAACCATCCAGCTCAGGGAACAAAACTCCATCAAAATCATCCACCTGAGCTATAAATCTTCCCCACCATCCCACAATGACGCATTTATATGATCGAATAGTGTTTAAAATCGCTTCCAATATATATAAACGCCGACAACATAGGGATGAGTCAGCTGATGATATTTCACGTCAATGAAGACTACAACGGCAAAACGATATTATATCACAAAAAGCCACTATCTCTGTTATGAGATGATGGCTACAGTTATTCTGGACTGAAGGAGAGTTCAGTTTTTTTATAATGACAAAACTCCAACTGTGTAATTTCTTACTACTGATCTAGGTGGCATAAATTTTATGAATTTTATGGTTGACGTACATAAAAGATTATGCAACCAATTGTTTTAGATAAATTAGCTGATTTCTACTTGCTTCAGTTAAATCCTCTTCACAGAAGATATCTCCTATGAAAAATGTGTAGTCCAGAAATTTAGCAAGTCAACAAACAGAATTGCTATCAGTAATGAAAAGCTATCAATAGTAATATTGAAGAACAAATTAGCCTATTTGGTACTATCTACACACATCGTTCTAATAACTTTCCTATACACAGAAATATTCATTGAAAAAATAGCAGGGGTAAAATCATGTTACATCTTGCGAATTTTCAACTTCGTGATGTTCTTCAAGATACAGAAAGAAGTGCAAATGTTTGTATTTACTCTGCAATTGCAACTTTGCAGACTTTGTGTTGATTTAAATTAGATATACAAAAATTAACCTCAAGTTTAGGGAGAAAAAATTAATAACAAATGATTAGATTGTTTATATCTAACCGTTGAAACATTTTGTTTGACTCCATTAATATCGATTTTGTTTGTCTAAACTAATGTTCTCGTAGAAAAACCAGAATAAAACTCGAATTGCAAATTTGTTTGATCTCACTTGCATTTATACTTAGGTTTTGCCACACTAAACGTAAGGAACATTTTTTATTGACAAAAATGCATTGGCTTATCAAGAAATCAACACGCAGTGAATTGTCCATTTTCATATATTTGTAAAAAAAGCTCGTCAGCATTCAAATAAAACTACCATTAATATCAGTTGCTCTTCGATTCGTTTCTTTTAAATAATGAATCTGAGCATTTTTCTCCGTTTGCCATGTGACGACTGGAGGTGGATAACCAACTGGAACTTGACAAGCAAGCCTGACAGATTGACCCAGAGATGCACGTACTTTTTGTTCTTTTGTTAACTCAAAGTCCCCAAGCTCTAAACAGTGAAAGATTCGGATAAAAGGATTTAAAAGCACACCAATTTACTTAATACAGTTCTCAAGCAAGTAAAAATGATGTTGACAAAACTCACAAACGACTTAGGTATGTATCTCCTATGCTTGATTCACAAATCTGTTCGAAATACATAATAATGATTTCTAGGTTCGAATAAGCCTTTGAAAACTCATTTTAAAAATCAGATATCATGAATATTCTGAAATAACATTTTAGGTCCCCAAGCTCTATTAACTGTCCTCCAATGATCCTTATCAGAATTGCAGTAACCTAAACAAATTTATTACTATGATATGCTCAGATACCTATTGTCCAGAGGTACGGTCAGTTGGTCAAAAGCGGAGTACAATCGAGCACATATGTGCATGGGTTCGCTATACCACACGATCCCAGTACGGCAAGATGAAATTCAAAAAAGTGCTAGTGGTAAAATTTGTAGCAGTATCAGTGTCAATCGAAAAGATTAACAACCCACAGTTTCGTTCGAGAAGGGTGAATTCGTAGAATAAAAAGTATCAGATAATTTTAAAATACATGATCTGTGAAACGAAAAAAGTGAATGCATATGCGACACACAGACCGATTCTGAACCATTCTTCTTAACGCAAACACTTGTTGGTTAAGATAATCATGAGGACTTTAACAAGGTAGTCTTCACCTAACTAAACACATCAGTTCAACAGTTACCAACTTCAAAAACTGATGCTCCTTTTAGATTAAGCCATTCCTTCTTTCTCCTAGCCTATTTCTGCACTAGTAAATATTGTCTATCTTGTTAGGCGATGGTTAGACATACACAACACAGTGCTCAACCACTCCAGCTGATGAATATCTACTACCTCGCCAAACTATTTGCCATCCTTACGTAGCACCCCTTATCTAACACCAGCATTACGAACTCTATAGTCCAAGCGTACACGAGCAATACTTTGAAAGGAACTATGAACAAATACTAGCAATCTACAAATATCATCCACTTTAAGAGGCCACTTTTGGCAGCTACATAGCAGAGGGATTATTGTGTAGTATACATGTCCATAGGTCGGCAGACGAAAATCTCGCCTACCGCACGGGTGACGTTACTTGCCAAAACTCCACGTGAACCTTTAAGTCTAAGCCGAGATTTTGTCAAACACTGACATATCAGGGCTGATGTTACTTACACGAAAAATGAATTTACCGACCCTCTCCAATATTTTAACCCCTATCATAAATACCGTCACCGACGTAGGTCAACGAATATAAGGTAGATAGAATCGCTTCCAATTACATCATTTATGAGTCACGTCATGACATGTCAAAGTTTTCTTCTATCTTATCACAAACAAAAAGTAATATAAAATCGAAATAACTGACATTATGTCCTTGTTTGGTTGAAGTATGGTTGACGATAATAACACTCATGAAATATTAATCCTATTTACTTCGCATAAATTCCATCGACAAATCTCGTTAACAACAATGTATACATCGAAAGTCGAAAACTTGAAGAACATATATTTTGGGACTTACGTAGTGCAAAAGATCAATAAGAACTGAAGAAAAATGGGAGTGAATTGAAAAGACAGAAATAACTAACCCAGTGAATAATGGTGGACTCAAATTATAGAAACGTGAAAAAGAGACGAGCAGGTGCACATACAAACACGTAATATTATATGTACTGACTTATATTCGTGTGTAAAAACAACATAATGACGGAAAAAATTAAAACAATTTGTTATTTTCAAAGGTTAGAATAAACCCGGTGGGAATGTAAAACCGCTGTTACTAACTAAACATAGATCATATGGGAATACAGATGAATCCTTAAACACTACTCTCCGTGCGAACTATATGAAGATATCCGCTAACTTCAATAACGTCACTGATCAGTAAGTCTTAACTTACTGATAAATATAGAATAATTTGTCATAATGACCAAAAATTTGTTGAAATATACTTTAGAGTGGCAAAGAAATGGGGAACTCACCAGCCCTTTTAACATTGACAATGATAGAAAGTGCAGTTCCAAACTGATTTTTTGCAATACACTGATACATCCCGTCATCATCAGTTCCTGGTCTAGCGATCACGAGTGTACCATGATCTGGCCACTTCGTATATCTCCCAGTATTGGCTGCCCAATTGAAGTATTGTCCGTTCTTGTACCAAAAATATCTAAATGATCGGTATATCTACTTCAAAACTCACTTAGGTGAAGGAGAACCTTTGGCAACACATGGTAAACGGATAGCTTCACCAGGTATAAAAACTTTATCGCTTGGAGGCATTTCAATGAACGTTGGTGGGTAAGTAACTTGTTGAAAACGTTTTTATAAATATTCATATCATTACTTGATGATACAGTTATGAACATCAGACATTTGACGAAACAGGAAATCAAAATCATTTTCGTTGCTTTGCAGTACAACACAGCCCCTATGTGATTTATCCTAATTTTCGTCTGGAATTTTAGTTGTTTTTCCGAAATTGTGTATCTTATCGACTGAAATGTTAAATATTTTCTAGGACGATCACTTCCGTCTCGATATTTACATATTCGAAAATATGCATTATACTTGCCTTCTGAAGTTACCTACATCTTTGTTGAGTAAAACAAAGTCTACAGTTAGGAGCTAGCCTACTATTCCTACAGGTTTCCAGATAGTGTTTTTCGACGCTCGAGCACAAATCTGCGCCAGATCACGAGTGAGTACACCATGCTTCACATCTCCGACAACCGCTAGCCAGATTAGATTGACCACTTCTCGATATATCGATAGCTTCTAACTTTAGCAGTTAGCCTGACGTGCACACCTATTCGTAAGCTGTGAGTCTGCTGTTTTTCGGAGCTTTGTGTAAAAGTTTTTTTCTTTGAGATTTACATATTGTGATATTTTTTAGTATTTTAAGATTTTTTCTCCCGTTCATTGCTATACTTTATATTCATCACGGCCGAACAGTCCTAAATTATCTAAGATCAAGACTCTTTCGACATACTCATTCTGGCTAGTGCCATCCTGGTCAGACAACATCAAAGCCTGGTTCTGCTGCGTAGAAGCTGACTTCCGCGAGCACGCAGTTACAGAACCACATGCACAGTTCGTCGAAGTAGTGAAAGCACCACTGCCCGATTTCAACAGGTAGGTCACACCTAGTTTACTTACTAATGATGTCTCGGAACCTTACAAAGCTCTGGAAAAGGTCATTCTTAAGCTTGGAGATCTTCTGGACCACTTCGTTATCAGTGATGTTATAATAATAGACATAATCCTTAAATTGCATATATGTCATTATGTGACTGCTTAATCTATAAGATTTTACGTGGAGGTCGCATCACTGTCTACACTGACTCATCGTATCGTAACAATTAACAGTATGATACTCAGTAATTTTGAAGGACACATTTCAGCTGAAGATAGGACAATATATTTAATGTGAATGAAGACGTGTTATACAGAATGACCACGCCTGAGAGGCGGAGCAATGCCATTCAATTTATTGAATAATCCCGCGTTCAATGCCGTTGGCCTTCTCTTCGTGTTAAGTGCTGAATATCTATTTTCCTAGTGATTTCACGTTTAGCTTTGACGATCGTGTGGTCATGACAAACACCACTACATTACTCTCCCACCAGAATCAACGTGAAGTTGGTTCGATACCAAATTGAGTGGAATGGTCGCGCGCCGGACACCCAGACCAATAAGAATCCCCGGGTATTGATAAGCTGAAAGATAAATCAAAAAAGAAGAGGCAGGAACAGATGAGGAAATACATGTACTGTTTTTAAAACGTTTGGTTTCGTTCTTAACGCGCGGAAATAGAGATCTATGGGATCGTTTGAAAGTTAAACAGAGCGAAGTTCTAATAATTAAGAATGATTTCGTGTAGAGACATTTGAATAAGTCTTAGTAAGATGCTTAGTAACCGTTGGTCTACAACTTAACTTATAAATAGTACAAGTATTTTGTGTTTAGAAAAAGAAAAAACTTGGTGTTGTGTCGATGTTCATATTAGTATTACCTTTGGTTCAAACTAGAAAGTCAGTTGACGTTTATGCCGGCATATTATCTGCATGAGATGACTCCAAAATACATCTATATTAGAAAGCCAGCTGAAAGAATAGAAGTATAAAAGTGAAGATAATTCCAACTGGTGTTTCAGTTAGTTTGTCAAGTTTAATATGGTTTATTTAGTTAACGGGAGATATTTCCGACCTCAATGTTGTTTAACCGTGACAGGATTTAATAAAACCGCTGATACATATGAATGGTTATCAAAAATTCATTTAATACGTGAAATTGGTGGAATTATGTGAATTCTGGACAGAGGGCTAAGAGTAACTTGTTAAATATGAGTGGATCCATGGGAAACGGGCTCTATACTTAATCAGTTATTTATACGCATATTTACCGGCTGATGGTGCATACTAGCTGCAAGTATTGAGTTTAGCATAAAATGGAAAACGACTTATTTGAAAAATGGTGATTAGAAATTACTGAAATCAAAAAACCCTATGTGCCACAAAAATAGGTGATGTGGTGTTGCTCGATGATTCTGATTAAATAAATTTTTACAAGATGATAAACAATGGGCGATGCTCATGGGATTATCAGAGAGAACATAAGCTGTAACCAGGCGGAGTACAACTCCCAACTCATGTCCATGATGATGACTTGAACCTCTGTCAGTTTTGGGGTAAAGTCGCCAGATGTTTTCAGTTTGCAGGAGATTTGTTCGAAGGCTCACACTGATGATTTGAATGCATGATTGTGTGGCTAAACCTCCAATTAGACTGACAAGGCTTTGAGATATTTACTGAATGAGCAAATGATAGAGAAACATACCGTAACCATCTGTGACGGATGAAGACAACATGGAAGTAACGCTTTAATGCTAATTTAAAGTCAATTTGTTGACAGATTTTGTTAATAGTTTCATCAATTTTATCAATCATATTACGTGATTGTCAAGTCATGACAATGCTCTTTGACGATATTATGAAACCATTGAGAATAACTAGTTATAGAGTTGATTGATGATTAGTCAGTTAAAAATAGGTACTGCTGCTCGAGCTGATTTTGAAATCGCACACGTTTTTAGCGTTAACGAATCCGAGATGCCTGATTATATTATAAATTGCAACTCAAATATTTGTCTACATGGTGTTAATTTTAAAAGTATGCTCCGGAGTTTCTATCCTAAGTATTTTTTTGGCCAACAACTACCTGATACTTTAGTTATTGTACTAGTGCAGTATGATAAGGCCCAAATTTGGTGACTTTATTATCTAAACTATGCTCGTCTAATATGATAGACCAATTCACCAACCCAAATACATGCAGCACTAACGGCTATGATGGGTTTATTGAGAAATAATAAAAAGATTCAAATGACTGTTAAATTTAAGCGGCATAGATGATATAATAAATTGCATGTATTAGGTAGCTTGATGTGGTTTTTGACGGTTTAAATTTTTTTTTAGTTGAGACAACTTGTGGAACTATGACGAGTTACAATATACGCTTCACATAAGTTACCGTAGTTATCTTAGTGCTATTTATAAATGTGGAAAAGGTAATTAGAACTAAGTGCCATATAATTTTTTAATCGAATATACTTCGTCTGTGAACAGCATACTTTTTCATAGTATTATATTGTAGTATAAAGCTATTAAATATTTCCTATACCAAAAACCTTTTGAGAGTGGTTCATACGCAACGTATACGACTAGTCTCAGTGAAAATACATACCTGTTAAGTACAAAAAAAGGAAATCATCCAGCAAAATCGTTAAACTGTATCGGATTATTCTCGGCATTTACATTATACAGTAGATTTGGCGTGTATAAAGTTGTGAAGATAGGTCTGACAAGCTTATTTTGTAAATAGTTTTTAATATTATTTGTATTTATTTTGTCAATTTTTCACTGCATGTACATTTATCATTAAATGATTGTACCTGTTGTTTAAGTAAATAACCTTGAAGACTTTTTCAGTTGTGATACTACATAGCGTGACATAACGTTGCTGGTTAACAAATACACTGCTTCTCTCACATTCCTCGTTCTATTTTCATTCGAGATTGAGTTAAATGAGATCTAAAACAGATATTATTTACATTCATAGACTGTGAGAGCGAATACACCATACCTTACTTTGGATTACACCACTGGGGAGTTCATCGATACGTTTGGAATTACCAAGCACCTATAATTGTGGATTTATTGTACCAGATTAAAGCCGAACACGCATCATTTTGGGTGAACTTAAGTAAAGTCCCATTTTATTGTATTTGTAGCATTTAACTGATATATATTTATATTACTATTGCTTTTTATTAACTTTGTTGATACTTTTTATTTTTATATATCGTCTGGTCCACCATAATTATTTGGTGAGCCTCGTGTTTATCCTAACGGTTATATTGTTTATCATTTCATACAATTTACTGGTTTATTTTTTCTCGTAATGTCCTCTCCCACTAAACTCATTGATATGGATTCGCCTCCAGTAACAACTTTTGTCTCATTGTCGAACTCTCCTGAAAATAATTTTAGTTCAGTTAATTCTATCTCAGAATTCAGACTCTCAACTTATGGAGCTAATAAACCAAGAGTCTGGTTTGCTCAAACTGAAGCTTTGTTCATGGCTAGAGGCATAAGATCTCAGGCGACAAAGTATGCATATGTAGTTGGCGCACTTCCTATTGAGATTGCCGCTGAAGTCGGAGATTTAATCGATCACGTGCCAGAATCTGAACCATATTATAAGATAAAAGCAGCAGTAATTCAACGTACATCGATCTCAGATGAGAAAAGGCTACAACAATTGCTGACGTCTTGTGACTTGGGAGATAAAAGACCCTCTCAACTTCTCCGCCACATGAAACAACTCGCCGGTCCATACAAACTAGACGAAGTCCTCCTAAAGCAAATGTGGTTTCAAAGATTACCACACAGCGTTAGACAAATTCTCAGTGTCTCAGAGAAGTCCGTCGCCCTTGATGACTTAGCCGACATGGCGGATAAAATGATGGAAGTATACCACGACAATCACTGTGTGAACTCATTGCAACCACCTGGACCAGCAGATATTAGCTGTTTAGTCGCCTTACAGAAGCAGTTAACGCAATTAACGAGCCAGCTGGCGTCACTGCAATCGACCATAGCAACCATCCAAGCTAGACAATGGAGATCCCCCTCAAAACAAAGATCTTTTTCCAGACAACGGTCTCGGTCACCGAATCGAACATCTGAAGTTTGTTGGTACCACCAAAAATACGGCACCAAAGCACGACGTTGCACACGACCGTGCACATTTTCTGCGGCTGACACAGAGAATCAGGGAAACGGCCCAGACAGTGATGGCGGCGCCTGTTTCTGGCGAGTAATAATGATCCAAAAGCATCCAGATTAAAAACGCAGTATAGCAACTAATTCCAGGGTGCTTGGTGGTTTTGACCTTTATGTCACTCAATCGAGTCAAGACAAATGAATTAGCCCAGATAATTGTGTGGCTGTCATTGTATGAACCATCCAAAATGACATTATGATTGCAGAAAATTTATATATTAAATTCACCATACG